CAAGATGAAATTATGAATAGTATTATATTAAATAATGTGACCCTATCTAATATTTGATGGGTGAAAGGATTAGGATAGGATAATTTATTTATTGGTCAAAATTATCCTTCGTCAAAATTTATACAATTTGAATTATTAATGTAATCTTTAAGGGAATAATAGAACATATAAGTTATATCCCATGGATTAAAACTAATCCTCTCCACTTTGGGAGGATTGAATCATCCTATACCAAAAGGATGATAATCCTCCTTGTAATCCTACCCCTTTCAATTAGATACAAACCAAACATAATATAGAATGATTATCATTCTATCCTATCCATCATCCTATGCACCAAACATGACCTTAAACTTATTAAACAGACCACTGTATGAAGATATAAGTAGTATTATGTTCCACTCAGCGAGGAAAACACTACTTTGCCTCTTCGCTTTGTATCTTTCCTTGGGATACCATAGAAAATTGACTAAAAAATTTACCAAAAAAGAGCAGGGATATCTAAAACTCTAACAAACTCATCTTGCAATGCACAGATGCTAGATATCCAAATATTAGATCTCTTGAAAATGGATGGGAACCAGATAAGTTAGAAATTCAAAACAAATCTACTAGTGCTTCATTTCCAACACCCATCTACAGTTTGATCATAAGTTTCAGGAATGCACCTAACCATTTTGGACATAATGTCAGATAAACAAGCAATGTTAACCTGAAAATTTTAATGTGTTTAATTTCTATCATCTGTAATTAGACAAAATTTCATGTATATGTAACCAGGATTACATATGCCAAACTGCTAAAATCCTAAAAGGTATAGGCAGATAAAATGAGCTGTGAGGAGTGCAAAAAAATGATTGATGCTCCCATTAGCCCAGGAAAGGCAAATTTTATTTTCAATCTCTCCTCCCTCATGATAGTGAAAAAAAGTTCACAAATCCATTGGAATAAATAAGCATATGACAAGCTTGATGCATGCCATGGTAATTATCAGTGAATAACAAGTTCTTGGTTTTTACTCTTTCAGATAATTGACATCATCATTTCACTATACCAATATCAACAATCAACACTTCTAAAACAAGAAAACCAAAATCTTATCCAAAATTTGCAAAAGAACCCAAAGAGTTTAGAGTTAATGCAACATTTAAAAGATAATCTTGTAAAATGCCTTGAATCAACAACATGCTTCTCATATTTCATCGAAGAATCTCGAAAATAAATAAATAAATAAATTATTGTTATATTTTCACCTCACAGGGGTTGCACCATCCCCCAAAAGTTTACAGATTCAAAAGCTAAAATAGAAATCACAATCATAATATTGCAAAGAAATAATTTTCTCTAACCAATAAAACATGGTCTAAAAAAAAAGAAGAAAGTGAAGGATGGAAGCACTGACCTTATATGCGTTTTGGTTCTTTGATTGCAAAGACAAGAGAGCCATCGGGCAGCCTATGGAACAAAATCATTAAGGTACAATAAGAGACAAACAAACTGTGGGTTTGTTTTGTTGTTGTCCGATGGAGGCCAAGATCTCATTAGAGTTTTAGTTTGCAACTGAAACCTGAAATGAGGGTAGAGACTTTTAGGCAGTTTCAGTTCACAGTACAGTATCTACAAGGACACATTGGTTTTTGAATATTTTTTGTGGGTCTCCATAACTCTCTTTTTCGTTTCGTTTCTTCATTTTTCAGCCGAGCTGGACGCCAAATAAACTCACCCTAGGCCTAGCTTACCAAGTACAAAATCTGATGCTAGCAGTTCAACTTCAACATTGCTATTTCCATATACAAATTAGCTGTCGTTGGCTTTGCATCAGTGATGTTCCATCTAGCATTGGATCGACAAGATGATGATGGGCCTGATTTGTATATGTAGGCATCAGGTATATCGGGCCTGTAAGTGGGTTCGTGACCAATCTGATCTGATCCAAATTTTTTGTTGTTTGCGGTAGAGAAATGTGACGTGAAACATGGAAAAGGACATGTAGTAGTAGATAGCCTATGGCTATGGCCTATGGGTAAACGACTCGGTCTCTTCTCAATGCTAATCAATCAGAAGTACAAACCCAAGTAGAAGTAAAAAAATTTTTGTTATAAATCCAAGTACATTGCGTCAGTGGGGATGTCATGGGATTTTGACCCATCATTTCCATTTTTTCCATTACTCGAGAAGAGAAAAAGATGCCTTTTCCCCAATATACGTGATACTAGCTAGTAGTAGTATCATTTTCATCCTTGGTCCCCGTAATCTTTTTTTACTAAAGTAAAACATTTTTTCACCCTCGTAAAGTTATTTTGTAATCTGAGAATAAGTTCATCTAAGATACATGCAAGTTTAAAAATCTAATTTTCATAGATAAACTAAGAAAAATATGCATAACCCCTAAGGGCAAAAAACAAGAACTTTCCCGACAGATTGTTTATGTATGCAAAGAGATAAGAGTCATGTTAATTGGATGTTATAAATTTGCTAATATTTCTCAATCAAATTCTTTGATGTGCAATATTCCTTAAAGAATTTACTAAGCATCAATACTATAAAACATCATGGATGTTTTGATAGATACAAGGGACAAAATTATATAACTAAATCATATAGAATATTGGATTTACAAACAGCTACTTGAACTGACCACATTTCTGCACCCTTTTCTTCTCCTTTTATCTTTTTCTTAATGGCATCGTATCTTTGTCTTAATTGAAACCAAGCATATATATGAAAGAAAAAGAAAAGAAATGTAAAACTAACCTAAAAGGTTGTCCCTGTAAGTAAACCGCGTTACTTACTGGAAAATGAAATATAATTATTAAGTTAATTAATTAATTACAATTAAAAGTCAACTTGCTTGCTTAGTTAAGTTAATGGGAGAAGTAGCCAATGAAGTATTGGCTTAGTGGTAAGGAGGATGCTTTAAACTCCTTAGATTTTAAATTCGAATTTCAATGTATTAAGGTTTGATTATTTAGTTATATTATAGTTTGTTAGTTGATTATTTTGTAATTATAATTTTATTATGATGTAACAATTGATTATAATTCTAACTTAAAAAATAATAAGCAAATCGTATTTTCGGATTTGTAGTAGGATTTGGCAACAAATAAGAGAGAGAGAGAGAGAGAATTAATATGTTAGATTATATATGAACTAAGTAAAGGAATATAGATGTCTTTTATGATGAGTAACTCAAAAGAGTTCGTAAGTGTTGGAATTTGACGGAAGGGAAACACTACGATGCAAACAATGGTAATTATTTATTAGTGTTTCTTGTTTAAGTCGAGATTGGCGAAAAGAGCTATGTCATAAGGAGACCATTTCTCTCTATCGATCAATTAAAAATTGCTTGTAGCCAGTAGCTATAAGAGTGTTTATGTATATCTTGTTCTATATCCTTATTAGATTTGTCTATATATTGGACATTCATTACATTAAGGTGAAGAAACCTTTTCTTAGTATGCTAAGCTAATGGAACAAGAAGACACCAACAAGATCGAGAATTAATTAGATAGTAATTTTATTAATGTATTACTGACAGTCAGTCCACATCCAAGTTGAGAGAAAGTGGGTTGGACGGGGCACATAATTTCGTTGGAAATGCTTTGCTATAATTCTACTTTTTAATAAGGAAAATAATATATATATATATATAGACAACTAGACAAATGCTAAAAAAAGGATTAATTAGTCTGCATATTTTCAAAGTTCAAAAAAAAATATTTAAATTTAAAATTTAACTCGATTATTTTATGCAACTTCTTTAATAAGTAGTATTTAATAAATTTAAAATTCAAATATCAATAACTATAACCGTTTTCTCTTTTCTCATATTGCGATTTTTTTTTTTGTGAATTCAAAGATAAAAGTGATTATGGAAATAATAATAATAAAAGCTTGGACGAATTTCATAGTACCTCGTGACCCTACCCACATCTCGTCCCGTTTTCATCTCTACTCGGTTACAACGACTCGGTAGATGAAAATCAATCGGCTATGTCACAGCTAAAAAAATTAAATTAATTGATAAATAAGAATGAAACAAAATTTTGAAGAATAGAAAGAAAATATACAATTTCATACGTGATTTTCACATCTTTATCGGGAAAATGTGTAAAAGAGTTTTTTTTTCCAAATTTGAGTTTAGAAATTTGGAACTAAATGGAGCATGTAAAGCATATCAACGGAACAAGACAACCAAATGGAGAAAATGAAAGCTTGATTATACATATAATCCTATGTTTATTCACACTTTGGTTGTTTGGGCATGTATACTTGAACTAGTCATAGGTCAATGTAATTGAGAAAGAAAACGACAATAGGATAACATCGGCTATGCTAGAAGCCAAATGCAAGAAACTTCATTACCATTAATTACCGATCTCTTGTTATATTCTGACGATGGCATTTCACTAACTTCCAATCAGTCAAAGTATATTGCAATATTTTTACCTAGCATTGATTTTCTTTCTTTCGAATTTTTTCTTTTTAATTACTCTTTTCCTTCCCTTTCCCTTTTCTTTATCTTTTAAAACATTGAGTTTAATTACTACTTTATTACTTATAAATTAAAATTCAATAAAAAATAAAATTTAATATTTTACCGACAAAAATGGATAGCATAGTTAAATTGTTAAAGGGAAATGAGAAATGAACTTAATATAGTAACATTTTTAACTGTATTACTCTTTCAATCATTGGTACGTCGTATTTGATTCTTTATATTGGTAGTCTAGATTTGATTCCTTATATGGGTATAGTCTAGATTCAAGCATTATACAAACATCTAGCATATGTAGTACAACGTACATGCATGTATATTCGATTAGTCAAGAGAAATTATTTTTCATGTCAATTAAAAAAAAATCATATGATATATTTCAATATTATTTTAAATTAATTAGATTGAAGAGGTCAGCAGGACATGCATGAGAGATTTGAACCAGTAAATAGTTGGCGTTGCAGCCAAAGTATGACATTGTCCTTTCACACACAGAAGAATAGTATTAGCTAGTTGAGTTTAGTGGGTAAAGTTATTATTATAATATCATTGTTGCAAAATCCAAATGCTTGCTACAAGGTTTGGGTGATATGCCCGGTGTTAGGGTTTCATTTTGTCTCTACCTTTGCTCTTTAAGCCCATCACCATTACTACCCTATATTTAACCCATTTTCCCCCATATCATTCTCATCAACTCTACATCACCTGTCTTAAATGTTTCTAGTACCATGGCTGCAGAGCTTGGCCTACTTTCATTGACACAACTTCATAAGTTAGCTCAATCTCAGCAAAACCAGAACCAACAAAACTTAACGGCTAGCTCGTGGATGTGGAACCCTAAGGGGAAACCTGGGGATGGAGACGATGATTCGTGGGAGGTTAGGGCCTTTGCAGAGGACACAGGTAATGTGATGGGCACAACTTGGCCACCAAGGTCTTATACTTGCACTTTTTGCAGAAGGGAATTCCGGTCAGCTCAAGCCCTTGGGGGTCACATGAATGTGCACCGCCGTGACAGGGCTCGGCTTCACCAAACACAGCCTGGTAGTAGTGGTGCATTAATGAATCCAACCCCAACATCTTCTACAACTGCTTCCTCATCTACTCTCTTTATCCCAACTCAAGAATTTGCCACAAATGGCGGCTTGTGTCTACTCTACCAATTGCCTAGCCCTAATGGAGTTTTCACTTCTCCACCTATGAAGGCATGCTCTATTGATTCACCTTCGACCCTTCTCTCCATTTCACCATATCATCCCTCTAACTACTTGATGGCAGCAGCACCATCTATAAATTTTCCGGTAACGCCTCCGGAGCTGAATAACTCTTCCTCTTCTCTCTGTTACTCAACCAAAGCTAAACAATCAACGTCGTCGGCAGATAACAATCTCAATGATGGCAACAATATCAACAGCAGCAACTACAAGGAAACATCAATTGACGACCTTGATCTAGAGCTTCGACTAGGGCATAGATCAACAACATCTTGACGGGGAAAAAAAAAATCAAAGAGAGTGAGTGTGCAATTTTCTTTATATAATTTGCCAGTTTGAGGAAGAAAGAGTACCAATGAATGTATAAGATTTAGTCTAGTTTTGATTAACTTGGTGTGAGATTTTTTTTTTGTTTTTTCAATGCTTGATATAAAATTTTCATTTACTACATGTGAAGTTAGGTGCTACATCGAGATAGAGCAAAGAAAAGTTAAGAGAAAAAGAAAAAGAAAAGCACCCTGTAAATTGAAAGAAAACAAAGGATTTATTATTTTTAAGAAGAATAAATGAAAACAAGATTAGGGTTTGAGTGATAGACTGGTAAAGTCTGCAGTGCAGAGTCATTTTCTGGTTACAGGTTTTTCTGAGAAAGTCAGTGTGTGTCTCTCTCTCTGGGCATATATTTCCGTTTCTATTAAGGCCATACAAGATTCAAGCCTCTTGTTCACATAATAAAACTTGGGAAAGTAAGTACTTTTACCAAACAATTATTGATAACACTGAGAAAACATCATCAGACTGCATTAATATTGCTCTTTAGGAAAGGGTACCCTTTTTGTTTATAGGTTGATATATGCATATCTCCTGATCAGGAGTCTAGCACAAGAATAATTTCATTATTATCATTTTCCTTCCTTATTTCTTTTTTCCTTTTGTGTGTGTGTGTCCTTACCCTTGTTATTAAGTTATGTATCCTGCTTCTGGTCTGGTCGATTATGTGTTTGAAGCAGGTCATAAAGTATATACAAAAAGAGAAATCTATACGTGTTTTTCTTCCAGAAAACCAAAGAAAAATGAGAAGAGAAAAAAGAAAAGGGGTCCATGCTTGAATAGTAGTACCGTTGTTTATAATTAAGCTTGGAAAGGGAAAAGACATTGAATGTGTTTTAGACCACAAAAATCAAGACTTTTCTTTGGAGTAATTAAGACAGTGCTTGTAAAATTCCATTCACATGAACTAAGTCGTGCAAAGAAAGCCAAAATCAATCGATTTATCTCATTGGGATTTGTGACTTTGAGATGAATAGTTCCCTTGGAGGGAGATAACAAGGCAAATTTTACTATTGATGTGACAATCAGCTTGAGAGAAATTAGATTATACTTTTGTTTACTTAACAAGTAATTAATGGCCATAAGACCAAAGTCCTCTTAATTAGATTTTAATAACTCAAATATCAATGAATATATATATATATATATATGATGAATGAGCAAAGTGTAAACCAATCAAGAAAATTAATGACTAAAATAAAGTAGCCCAAGTGCTTTATGGATCGTTGTAGGTGCCAGGTATGATTATAACGTCAATTTCATGATCTCAAAGTTCAATCATAAAAAATGGAGGCCTTAAAAAAGATTGCAATAATTTTGAATCCCCTTAATGTATATATATATAAAAAAAAAAAAAATCATATCGTCCCTTTTATTTTTTGGCCAATGATCATATTGTCTCCTTACAACTTACAATTTCAATCTCAAACTTTTGGAAATTTGTAAACAAAGTGAAGTTCAAGGGGATGAAGGAAAGCTATAGCCAAAAAAAAAAAAAAAAAAAAAACCAAAAAGGCCTCATGCATGCCTGTATTAACAACTAAATCCACCTAACATATGACATTTAAATGTTATATTATGCATGATGTTGCCATATGAGATATGTGTAGTTGGGAATTCAAGTTATTGCTGATATTACAGCATTCAAATTCTTAATAGACCATGTTCTGAACCTATGTATTCTTACAACACTATCAACAATACGTCTTCTCCTCGACTAGTTTTCCATACTTAATAAAATTTCTTTATTAATTAGCTAAAAGGAAAAGGAGTCACTTAATTTTATCATTTGTCGTTGTTTTTCATTTACCCATCAACAAAAATATTTGCTTTTCAAAAAAAAAAAAAATTATCATTCATGAACTATTTGAAGAATTCAGAATTAATTTAATAGTTATTATCTCTCTCAATTTTAAAAGTTTTTTTTTTGCCAACCTCTCAATTTTAAAGCTCAAACCCATTTTTCGTCCTTAAACTTACTCATATGGATAAAAAAAATTGCATGAAATGTTTTTTTTTATGGTTCTCCAAATAGTTTTATATTTTTTATATTTAAATTTATCAAAATTTAAATTTTGATAACTGAAATTAAAAATCCATCATTTTATAACTGTTTATAAGTTTCCATTCATATCTATCAAATGTTTCCAGAGGGCGTACTCTTCTCATGTTGGATCTGCTTGACATTAAGTGAAGTAGCTCTCCAAATCCCTAAAATATTTATAAAAAAAATGAATTTTTTTGCTTGACTTTGATTGGTGCAGCTGGAAGCATTTCCGGTTTTATTTGTAAATATCAACCTGACTCTCATTAATTGTCTCGTGATATAGAATTAAAGCTATACGAATTAATCAGCCAACAAACTTCCTGTGTCAAACTTGAAATTCAAAACATATAGTAGTCTATATATATCTGTTTGTGGGCTGCATGAAATTTACCCTTTATAGGGATCCCTTAAGTTATTAATTTGTTTTGCTTTGCTAATATGTAGTTGTTGAATTTTTCTAATGCTTCGATTGGAAGTTCTCCATAATTTTAATCAGTCATTACCAAACTAAAATAAAGAATATTTATCAATAAAATTATTGAGGAAGAGCACAAAATTTCTTCAAATCAAGGACCAAACAATGTATATATTATCAAAGAATGAGTTTTTTTAAAAGTATTTTTAAATGATTTTTACGAAAATAAAGTTTATAATCCATATGATAATATGCATAAGTGTTGGCCTCTGAAATGATAAATAAACAAAGGAATTCGAATGTCATTTGAAGAAATTTAAATGACCAAATAGTTGAAGAATTAAATCATTCTCTTTCGTTCTTATTTTTTGTTTTTTTATTCAAGTGTGTTAATTGAAAACTTGAAATATAATTTTGTTCTTCTTCGATATAGGTATTGTATTATGGAAATAATATTTTAAAGAGCTCATTTGCACGTAAATGAAAAGCTATTATCCTTAAGATCTCTTTTCAAGTGCTTTACTTAAAGTTTGTTCATGTTCAATTTGTTTCCATTAGTGAATATTACATACAAACACCAAAAATAATCACCTTAAGGAACACATACATATGGGTATATAATATACCAGATACCACCAACCATGTATTCTGCAACAATATTGCATTAACTGATCATATATCCTCAACTTCTTGAAATTTTCATTCACCTTTTCTTCCTTTTTGTCCTCAGTCAAAGAAAGGTATTAGAACAATATTGATAAATTTCATTCACTACTGCAATTTTCATAGAGATATTGCGGACCTTTGATTAGTTATAACATTTGATTGTATCTATATTGTTAGTATTATTTGTCTGTCAAATAATTAATAAGAGAGTTTGGGTTTCCACATTTCTTTCGGTGGGTGGGATTGGGGCGCTCATGGCTGGTTGAAAGGGAAGGGTAGCCCTTTTTCTGGATTTGCAGCACTGGCTAGCTAGTGCCTAGTCGTCAATCTGTTTTATTTTTCTTTTTGTTTCTTTTGATAATTTACTTTACTTTGGGTACTTAATAAAACAGTAATTGTAGGCTTATGTCGTTTCTGTTGGACTCTTTAAGCCTGCAATGCAGCCCTACTTTCCTTCAAAGCTGCAGCAGCTTCACCATACAGGTAGCCAGCTTTCCCTTTAATTGCCAAAATGAAAACCAAAGTAACAAACATTCCTTTAAGTCAGATAAATTGCAAGAGTTTAAAACTCATTTCTTTCCATATCATTTTCTTGTTTTCTGATCCAAACTTTGGCCTCTTTGTCACCTAAAAAAAAAACAAACTTATCGTAGCAAAATCTTTAAACTCAAACTATCATTGCATGTGTATTTCTCTGTCAAACTGTACTAAGTAAATGATCACACATTTTTAACCATCCATTGCGGAGTAATAAATTCATATAGATATATACTGGTCCACTCCATTAGAGAGACAGGTGAACTTGACCCACAGAAACTCGTGGCCTGAAATTGAATTTGGCTAAGCTAGTCATGTGAAGGCTTCATGACTTCATGTGTATCACGTGGCACTGGTAACTGTTAAAGAACAGGCGATTTTGCTGTTTAGTTTAGCTAGCTATCTTGAAAATTTATAAAGAAACCCAAATCAGAAGCTTAGTTTGCTGGTGAACATCATAACACGGAGACCCACATGGAACATTCTCCTCTAGAGATCTGAAATAAACGGAAGCAATAAGGATGAATTAACCTGCAAAAACAGGTAAAGTACACAATTACACATCAACCAATTACATTTAATAAAAGACCCTTTCTTCAAACATAGATCAAACCAATATAGTGGAGTGAATAATATGCAAATAACTACCAAAAAAATTCATAAGGTCAAAAAAAAAATCTTGCTTATAAAAGCCTTGTGATTGGAAGAAAGTAAAAGAAAAATCTAAACCACGTAATTTGTAAAGTCAAAAAATGCTCAAAAGTGATAATATTTTATGTGTATATTTATATATATAATTTTCCTGACATAATAAATTTAGTATGTATGTATGTATACTGAAATATTTTTGCATAGTACGTACTGAGCTGTGTTGGACCACTTCACTTCCCTCATAAATTGGCTGCATCGACGTTCGATGAGTACTTTCATACAATTACAAGATCCCATGGGGATTTTTTTACGGTACAAATTGATTTTATATGATTGGTAATAATGATAGTAATGAGATTAAGTATTATAGTGATAAAAATTAAATATTATAATTGTGAGATTAAAATTAATAGTAAAATATGTGTTTAGATGTGGATATATTAAAGATATTAGATTAAAATTTATATATAATGAAATTTATAATATATATTTACTATTTGTAAAATTAATAAATAATTATAAATTATTACTATTATTTTAGATCAAAATTTTTTTGCTAATAAATTAAAAATTACTAGAATTGTTTATTAATTATTTATTAACTTTTTTATGTATTAAATTATATTAAATTATTATTTATATATTTATTTAATGTTTAGTTATTAATTTTTATTAGGTAATATATAAATTTATTTTATTAAATTAATAAAGTAATTTAACAAGTTCTAAATAAAAAAAAATAAAAGAATGAAAATAAAAAAAAAAAAACCTTAAGTGGCAGGGATATTTTTGTCCCTTCACTATACTCTTAAAGATAAAAAAAGAAAAAAAAAAACTTGAATAGAGGTTTTTTTGAAAATAAATACTTCAATGTGTTAGAAAATTTTCACTTACCCTTTTAAACTGAGGGTTCAATGCAGTTGGCAAACACCAACCACACTGACCCATATTGATTCAAATGCAAAAAATGATGCAAGTGAACTCATAAAGTACTTCAACCTTACCAGTATGATAGGCTCCAAACTTACCCTTAATCCTTTATTTGAGTTAAAAGGTAAATCTAATATTGCTATCAAACTGTTTTTTATATATGATAAGGCATTAATTATAGCCATGAGGCATCAATTTTCTCAATGGTATATGCTTAGAAAATTATCTATCTTGAGTTATAAATCCTACTGCTACAACTCCTGTTTGTTTGGGGGTTTTGATATATCTTTTTGTGATTAGGAAGCAATGTAGTTTTTCCAAGAAATGCTCATGTGCAATGGGAATTGGGAAGGGGAGGGTGGGGTGGGAAATGCATCAGTACTGAGGGAAAAGAGTACCTTCTCACAAGATACTGAATCTATGTTTCAGACCTTTGTTTCTTCAACTTCTTATTGCTGAGTGCTACAGTTGGTACATCATCCTTTCAGCCTTTTGCCCCTGTCTCCGACCCCACCGAAATCCGTAGCCAGCTAAGACACCACCACATTTATAGGCTGAGATGATTTATAAGTACTTGCTCTCCAGCCACCTTGCTTGGTCCCCTCCCCAACCCACTGATTTCCCACTCTCTCCCCCCCTCCCTCTTTCGATTTGGATCGTACATGATAAATGTCGATCATCGTCATCAATTCATCACACACACACAAGCATAAACCACCGTAGAGAAATCCATCAACCATGAATCAGTGTCCCCCTAATACATTTATGGCTTCACTGCAGCAGGTTTTTCTTCCTTTTCTTTTCCTTGCTAAAGTGAAAACCCCATTTGACTAAAACCTTTTTTTTCCTGGTTCTTTATCGTCTTCTTTTTCAACACCTGATGAAAGAAGCTGAGCAGGAAAGAGTAAAGAGTGGTAATATAGACCAAGATTCTGATAGTTAAAAAGTTACAGATACATGAATAGTAGGGTCGTTCAGTTGAGAATAAAAAAAAATACAAGTGAAAAAATGAGTGCGTGGTAAGGTGGGTTTTGAGGAATAGTCATGGTCAGTGCATGGGCCTCATATTCCCAGGTCACCCCTCCAACAAAGTCAGTAATCATTGCCTTTCTCTTATCTTCATCTTCATGGGAAGCCCTGTCTCTTTTTTTCTCCCTTCTGGTCCTCTCTAACAGTCTCTGTTACTACAGTGACACCTTCTATAAACACTGCGAACACAAGCCAACTTTGTGTAGACTTTTAAGGTTGTGTTTTAGCAAACAAAATCCATGGTCAGATCATGTGATGTACCCTTCATTTTCTAAACTTCTTTTGCTGCTATGATAGTAGTTGCCTAACCGAACTAATTTACCGCAGATCATATACACTGATAAGATAATACTACTGCATTACTAATTCCACATTTAATCAATTATACACGAGTTAAAACAAATCTATACTGATATGGTAACATCAACATCATGTGCTACAAACATTGTCCCACAAATGTGAAATTGGGTCGCATGAATCCTATCATATAATGTCTGTGCTTCTGTACTACTAAAGCTTAAGAAAGATCAGTAAATACTGCAATTTTTTTTATCAATAATTCCCTACCAAATCACATATTCTTTAGAATGAATTCACAGTAACAAAAGTAGCAGTAACAAATTAGAACCTCGAATAGGCCCAAACAGAACAGCAAAACCACATCCGACAAAAGGATTATTTATGTTGAATGGAAAGCTGACGCTGCTATGTCTATTAGCTTTTGTATTTGCCAGGCAACCAATTCTGGTGTTGTGTCATGAACGTGAGGCTCTGATATAAAAGATACAATATATTTATATATATATATGGGACTGGAAATGGCATCAGAGCAAAGAATAAAAAGGTGATCATCATAGCCACAGACTGAAAGTGTGCACTATTTCTTCATCAAAATTTGTACCAAAAAAAGCTGTCATCAGAATGCAGATGATGCTAATTTTTACGTTGTGTTTGTTTTAAAGACGACTTAATCCTGATACTGTCTTCTCGTTAGAGTTTAGCCGTATAAGTAGAATGAATAGGTATAAAGCTAGCTATAGGGTGTTTATTCAATCGATCAAGTAATTTTAAATTAAATTATCTAAAATTAAATTAATCAAATTATATTATTTTCATTAATTAAATTGAATTTTTTAATTTCAAAAATTAACTTATCAGAATTAATTCGATTAATTTTTTTAGTTAATTGAATAATAAAATACATTAAATTAAATTATATTTTAAATTTTTATTTTTTTATATATGAAATAAATTAAATAAAATCATCAAACAAAAATATTCAAATATTAAAATATTAAATTAAAAACTCTAATAACTTGAAATGAAATAAATAATTACATATTTTGTTGTTTTATATATAGATTTTATAATATTTTAATTAAAATTTTAATTAATTCAATTAATTTGATTTTCAAATTAAATTAATCAAAAATTAAAATTTTTTAAAAATTATTTTTAATAATTTATAAAAATTAATTCAATTAAAACTAAAACTAAATTATGAATACTCTTTAGCTAGCTACACTTCCAATCTTCTTTTAGAAACAAAAAAAAGGACTAAAAAATGGGAAAACGATAACAATGAGAACAGGTTGCCAACATCAATCAAAACAGAAATTTCAATGACTGAAATTGTTCCATTGGTCCCGTCCTCTTTAATCCCCCGCCAGGCTTTTTCCTATGGGTGGTATTTTTCCTAAATAACCCTCACTGTGGATAGGGATTGAAGATTTGTTAACAATCTCTCTTGCCCAAGTTTGGGTGATTCAAGAATTTTGTTACCCAGGCCTGGGCTATACCCAAAAAAGGCCCATTTTTTTTGAATTGGGTAAAGCATGAACAGGTTCAAGAAGTCTTCAATCTTTGGGTTCTAACTTTTGGATTAGACCAACCTTTAACCCACGTACTACTTTTAATCCCACATCGGCCTGCTAACAAAGATCATTGGAAGAATTTGTTCCTTTTCTCTATTTTGTAATAAAACAAGCTCTCTCCAGAGTGGAGAATCGTCTTCTGAAACGCTAACCTGCCCTTTTCTCCTTTTTGGAATAAAAAAAACAAGCTGTCTCCACAGTGGAGAATCATCTTCTGAAACGCTAGCTCTCCACTGTTTCAAGTCACCCATGGCAACTTCGAACGTGAAACAAACACTGGGCAATCTTAACGAAGAGTCCTTTGTTTCACTTCTAACAAAGGTCATTGGAGAATCCAAGTTCCTTCAAAACAACCCTCCAGAACTTTTCCCAGAAGAAGACAGGGTGGTCAAGCATGTACTAGATTGTCTCCTACCTTACAGTACAACAACTGGAGGAGGACCTTTGGTTGTTAACCATGTTACTTATTTCCCTGGAAGAGGCAATCTCATTGTGGAGTATCCCGGAACTGAGCCTGGGAAGATCCTGTCTTTTGTTGGGATGCATATGGATGTTGTCACCGCTAATCCCAATGACTGGGTACTTAGTCTCTTTTGCTTTTTCTTTTCCTTTCAATATTTTTATATTTTGGTTTTGGCTTACTATTTTTTTAATCCAAAAACTTGGTTTTTGTTTAAAGTTTGAATTTTTAATGGCTGTTTAAGGATGGGTTTCTGGGTTTTCGAGTGATATTTCTTAATTTCTGGCTAAAGGAATCTTTTTTTCCTCAAATGTTATAGATTTGGTAGTGTGAATTTGGCTAATATTAGTTTTTTCATTGGTTTGAATTTGGTTAATTTTGATATTATATTTTGAATTATTTTTGCCGATTTTTGAATGTTTATAACTGAAATATGTTGATGGTTTTACATTATGTGATAACTGTATTTGCAGGATTTTGATCCTTTCTCGTTGAGCGTTCATGGTGATAAACTTTTTGGCCGTGGAACTACTGATTGTTTGGGACATGTTGTCCTTGTAACTGAACTCATGAAGAGACTTGCTGAGACAAAACTGGAACTAAAATCAACTGTTGTTGCAGTTTTTATAGCCAATGAAGAGAACTCAGCAATAACCGGAGTTGGTGTTGATGCACTAGTGAAAGATGGGCTGCTTGATAAGCTGAAGGGAGGTCCACTGTGAGCACTTTCGTTTCTCAAAGAATAAATGCGGAGCATTTGTAGCATGAAGCATGTTTCAGATGTGATGATTATGTTAAAAAAAAAAAAAAATTTACCATTATTTATCCTTTCTCCGATTAGATGGCAGACTTCATTTAATTCATATGATTTCACAGTTTCTGGATTGATACAGCGGATAAACAACCTTGCATTGGTACTGGTGGTATGATACCCTGGAAACTTCATATGACAGGGAAGCTATTTCACAGTGGCTTACCACACAAGGTATATCATATTACTGCATTTGTTATGTAGCCTATGTAAGGAATTATTTCACATAACCATAAGCCATGGAGTTTAAACCTAAATCCCTAGGTAGAGGGAAAGATAAGAAAATGTTTGAATGTTAAATCTGAAATTTTTATTTCACCATGAATTATCTTTACTCTTGATTGCAATATATTAAACTTTTTCCCGAATGAATTGACTTCTGGAACCTACAATATTTTGACCCATAAACCCATAGGCAGATTCACTTCTATACCTGATAAATTCCCTAAGATATTGCCTAATTAAGATCCAACCATGACTTATAAAGCAAATAGAAAATCCTATTATAATCTATTAAAGTAGTTTCTGCTTATTTGTTTTTCAGAAAAACAGTCCGTGTTTAACCTTGAGAATCTCTCTGTGAAAGTTGTGTGCAGTTAGAAAATGTTGGCATACTGATTTGCTAGTTCTTGACGAGAAAAAGGAAAGATATTTATGTTTCTTCATTCTCCATGTTTTTATTAACTTTCAAGTTGTTCATTATCTGCAGGCTATAAATGTATTGGAGCTAGGCATGGAAGCACTTGAGGAAATCCAACTACGGTTTTATAAAGACTTTCCACCTCATCCAAATGAGCAAGTATATGGATTTGCTACACCATCAACCATGAAACCAACTCAATGGAGTTGTAAGTTTTAAACCTTAGATTAGCAAGTTATTCCTGAGAATAAAGTTGGTTCATTAATTAAATTCTTCTTTAGTGCAGATCCAGGTGGTGGAATCAATCAAATTCCTGGAGAGTGTACAATATCAGGAGATGTCAGGTTTATTATATTGTCAGAGTGTTTACAGAGCTTGTCAACATAATATGTATTCTTACTAAGTCCCTTTTTTTTTTGGGTTGCAGGTTAACTCCTTTCTACAAGTAAGTAACCCTCCTATTATCCAAAAGATCTCATCAACCTTGGTCTGAGTTTTATGTTCATTCTTTCAAGTTATTTGTTGGTGGAAGATGATTGTTTCTTTTCCAAACAAAATTGCTAATGAATATTTTCTTTGAAAAATTATCATACTCTATCACAGTGTAAAAGATGCAATGAAGAAGCTACAAGAATATGTAGATGACATAAACGAAAATATAGACAAGCTAGACACCCGGGGTCCAGTTTCAAAATACATCCTACATGATGAAAACCTTAGAGGAAGGTATGTCCTCTTTCTAGCTTTCTCTGTAAAACAAACTAGTTCTAGGTGTAGTTAAGCTTTTCATTTACCATATCTGTTCAAGAAGAATCACCTTTTGTTGCTAATCTTTCTCATCTATTTTTCTGTAACTTTTTCTGAGTTGTTATGTGGTACTCTATTTACAGCCTTACATTGACTTTTGATGAGGCAATGCCTGGAGTTGCTTGTGATCTTGATTCTCGCGGTTTCCATGTATTGTGCAAAGCAACTGAAGATGCAGTTGGGCATGTGAAGCCTTACTCAATTACTGGAAGTTTGCCACTCATTAGGGAGCTGCAAGTGAGACATATATCTTTTAGTAGCTCTTGGCCTTCTTTTAAACTGCTATTAGCTAATTTTTTTCCTCATTTTCTATCAGGATGAGGGTTTTGATGTCCAAACTGCTGGCTACGGTATGATACCATTATTGCTTTTTGCATTTAAGTTATCAAAAGCTATTGCAGACATTGAGCAAGAGCCTTTACTGTATATTAAATTAATGTTTAAGATAAGTATGGCTGATACTTGTCAAAGGAGGCCATGCAACCAGATTAAGTAGCAAGAAGCTACTGTAGTCCCAATTTACATGGCATGGGAATCAGTTTGCAGGCAAATGAAGTTACTTGAAAGATTATGGATAAAAAACAGAGGAGAATAGCTCTTTGCTTTTTCTGAAATAATATTTCTATGGGATGCCATGCCATGATAGGTATTGAAGTTAGAGCTACCTATATACCATATAGAGAATTAGTGCAAACTATTGGGAAAATATATGCTTTTACTGCTGTTGTTAAAATTCATAATCCCATCAATCCTTTTTTTGTTCTTGTGATGTTCTATTTACTTTAGAATTAGCTGGATTCAACTGAATGGAATCATTAAATGTTGTGTTTTACTGTTAGAACAATGCAAGAAGATATGAAGATCTGACATGCTTCATTTTGCAACACATACATGCAGGTTTAATGTCCACGTACCATGCCAAGAATGAGTACTGCCTTCTATCTGACATGTGCCAAGGCTATCAGGTTTTTACCAGCATCATCTCCCAGTTAGAAGATTGAGATATCGAGTTATATATGAGCTAAATAAGCATTGTAACCATTCCCCCATAAGCACGATGCAAAATCATATGACGTTTGAGCAGTTTGTGTGAATATTACGATATACATGCTTACTGCAACGAAGTATTCTGCTAGTTTGTTTGATGTGGATTTTACTCATTTGATTTCTAAAGCACGATCAATTGAAACTCCGACTTTTTTTTGGTAAACATAAACATGACAAAAAAGCAAGCTCGCTAATGCCAACTTGGGGAAAACCTTTCTTTTTCCTTTTCCTATTTTCCTTTTGCTTTTGTTCTCATTGTTCTTAATGGAAAAAATTCCATCTGGTATCATTGTGTAAATACAGTTATTTTTTAATGCATTGGGCGTGCCTCATCTTTCTTCAGCACACTGTTAGTATACAACATATTTGTACATTATACAACAATCCTAATCCAAATGATACTGCTACTTTTTTTCTAGATCCTGTGTGATATACAAAATTCTTCCATTCCTCAGTTGTTACTCATCTGACAGCTCCTTCATAGTTTGGTCGAGTTCTTTCCTTCCGATTTAAGCTGTTGAATTCTCTGGCGTAGCCTCCGCTGGTGGTCATGTATCTTCCAAAGACCATGTCCCAATATAAGAGCCGAGTATATACCATGTGTGATAATGGGTGCAAGAATGTTGTTTGTCTGTCAGAAAATAAAGACCCAAATTAGTGAGCTGTTCTTATAAAAAAACCTAAATGGGTTAGTTGCTTCATTTTGAACTGATCCCTCTCAACTACTTCAGATAGTGTGGCATGTTACCTCGATCCATTCAAACCCAAGGTAAAGGGCCAATATTCCTTCCAAAAGGGGAGAGTAGATCTTTTTCATTTTTCTCCTCTCATACCACGCTGCATCATGTTTTACCAAAAAAAATCAGAGATGAATACGTAACAAAAATTAGTAGCAGATTACACTATTAAGTTCGAAGTATGATTCCCAGACGGTTCTTCTGCCTAAAACTTCGGTGCATATAGAAATGACTGGTTATACTAGTTAGATCTATCGTTTATATGGTGATTATGCAATTATGATATGGTCAGATTTTGGTATTTTTAGCTCTCTATCTAATGGTATAAATTTACACCAATAGTCGCGTGATCTGTTAATAGAATGCTAAACTTTTAGTTCCAAGAATCAGAGTTCAAATCCTAGCAACCTCAAGTAACAAAAAAACGATATAGGTCAGAGGGAACACCTGTGAATAGTTTTTTCAGATCTTCACGAGCAGAACGGGATCGTTGAAGTGGTGCAACTACATAAGTAGGATCTAAAGATGGGAAAAAGAAAAGCAACAAGTAAAAACACAGAAGTAAAGGGAGGCAGCCACATTTCTCGAAATGATAGTGACAATGATCTACCTTTTGGAGAAGCAGCCACATAATAAAGAGAACCTGTAAGAGCAGCTGTTATTACAGCTGCAAATGCCCGGGCAAATGGGACAAAAGGAGGCAGCACACCTGTCTGTAATTATAGAGGAACGAAACAAGTCACAATATTTAGTTGTGAGAAAAAAATTATTACCCCAGAATAGAAGGTACGATCTTTAGACTAGAATGCATACAAGAGATGCCATTCCTCGAGCATCCGAAACCAACTCAGTGCCTCTCAGGAATATATCAGCCAATGCTCCCTATTTTTCAAGCAGAAGCTATTCTTATCAGTTCATTGCCATTATGGGCTGAGTAAGGAATTGAGAAAAGTAAATCAATTTCTGCAGGTATGCCATATGGCAAGCTTCCTGAGAAGATTGTAGCAGAATAATTACATAATTTTAGAATACCGGATCTCCTGGATGGGAATACTTTAAGAATTCCCCTATAACTAATTCTACATTATACATAATACAATAAAAAGGAAAATTTTCGAGATGACAGACCTGAACAGCAGCTCTGTAGAAAAGCTCCTCTCCAACTGAGCTAGCAGCGACCATAAGTATGAACTGCAAAAGTTGTTCAAGGTGAAATCGGTTCCTCATTGCTTCATTGAAGCATGTTAAAGGGGATATCTAAGTAGTAAACAAGTCTAAGATGATTTACCTGCCAAGGTGACATTCCATAAAAGAAGCTCCTTAATTCCTCATCCTCCACATCTCTTATTGCACGAGCTTGGGGAGATAGTTTCACTACTTCATCCTATATTACCACCACGCAAGTTCATCACAATATAAGCACCAAATTCAAAAGACACTTCTGAACATGAATATAAACTGAAAATCCACGAATAAATTTGGATTTTGTAACTCCCATAAACCCGACCTGAACTAATTCTAGATTCTTTCTAAGCATAGACCCAAATCTATAGTCTTTCTTGAGATTTCAAGAGCTTAAAAAAAAAAGAACATGGTAAACCCTTTTTCATCCATAAAACTCATACATATACTATGTTGTTTATAGACAAGATTCAAATAAGCAATTTGGTATAAAACCAATTATAAAACTGATAAGCAAATAATGAACATACATCTAATATGAAAAGAAGGGCCATGATTGGAGGAACTGCATAGCCAAGTCCTACAAGAATGGCATCTAATGAAGGATGAAAACCTCCCATGCTGTCGATTCCAGTAACTGAACATATAAACCTCCCAGCTAGAGCCATTACTCCATATATCCCTATACAAGCATACAAAAATAAATAAAAATAATAACTGTTTACTGCTTTATATATCCCCTTCCATCAAATACTAATTATTCTGCTTTATACCACAAAAAAGACCCAAATAACCTCATAATTGACAAAATTGAATTATTGATAAGGCTTTAAATCATCATGAATTGGGAAAAAATTGATTATGTTGAAGAAACATCAGCTTTTCTTCTCCTCAAAGCAAAAGTAAAAAATCTATAAATAGAAAATTATGGAAGAAGAAAATTTATTGAACTTCAATATGAAAGACAAAATCATTTCATAATTGGCTTCAAAGGGGAAAAGAAATGAAAAGAAAAAAAAAGCTTCCCATTTTTGCTTCCCTACCTCGGACTATTTGCTTTATCAGAAATTTCCCCTTTTCGACGCCTCTTTCGCTTTTAGAAACTAAAGCTTTAAAAAGAAAGGTACTTTCCTTAAAATTCCTATTTTCTGAAATTCCTAAGCAATCTAAATATAAAAAGTTAAGCTTTTACCAATCTTTGCAATTATTTTCCTGGAAATTCACCATCTTGGAGCAAAGTTTTTTCAATAAAATCGGAAAAAAAAAAGAAAAGAAAATAGGAAAAGTTACCGATTCCATAGCTGAGTCTAACAACAGCACCAATCTTATCCCAAACAGGAAAATCCGCAGCTTCACCCAAGCTTCGATCCAGTGTGGTCACTTCCATGGCACTTGCCGTAAACCTTTCTCTCTCTTTAATGGCAGCTTCACCACTCCGTTCCACGGACGCCTTTGCGCACTGCACCGACATTCTCATCTTTCTCACCCCAATCTCACAAAGCAACTTGAAATTCGAATTAGAGGAATAAGAAAAAGAAGAAAAAAAGCAACATGATCCCAAGTACGACGTCGTCGTCTTCGGTGTTAACGATAGTATCGGAACTTCCATAGACGTCCCTCCTTTCTTTCTGCTTCTTTCTTCTTCTTCGTCGTCGCCGTCGTTGTTGACTTCGTCAAAAATTATTGGCCGTACGTTAGCTGTTTGGATACATTGTTTTAAGCATAATGGCAGTTTTAGAGTGTTGCGATGATGATCGGACGGTGGGTAAGATGAAGTGTGGGGTCCTTTAATTTGTGAGATTGGTGCTAAAATCTAAAAGGACCAATGTTTTAATGACACGTAGCGATAATGCTCGCCACACTGTGGAGGAAAATTCAGGGGAAAAAACATTATTATAACAATAACTTAAAATTTTAAGTGTTTAAAATTATTAAGAAAAATATGATGGTAAATTAAAATGCTTAAAAATATATATAAAATAATAAAATTATTTTGCTTACAAAAAATTATAATTTAACGCAAGCAGTGTTAGATTAATGCTTTGGGTGAGGTTTGGAAAGGGTTGAAATTTTTTTTAATTTGGCCACTGAAACAGATAAATTAATTTTTTAATTTCTTAAGTATATGGTTTTAAATTGTAATAGTAATTCATAATCATAAAAAAAAAAAAAAAAAAGCAGGTGCCCCCAAGGATACTTCCTGATTGGGCCTAACAAGAAACAAGACAAACTAATGTTAAATGCTAATTTTAATTCAACAATTTGTGACAAACAAACAGACAGAGACCCAGCAAGTGGTAAACAAAGAATCCAATCATGATGGGAAAAAAAAAAACATATCACATAAATTTTAAAACCTGTTCCAATATGGCTGGGACTGGGATTTTCTAGAAGCAACAAAATTAAGGTTCATCATATTTGATGGTTTTGGACAAATCTTCAATGCTTTTGCTTTTGTATTCTTAGTCAAGGAAGCCAATGGTTGACTTTAAACTTATTAGCTCATAAAGTGGGAAATTTTGGTTTAATGACTAAAATTAATTCAAAGTCTTTCCTACAAAGTATAAAATATAGGTCTAAAGAGTCATTGTCTTTCTTAAATTTTAAGCTAAAAATCTTTATCTCTTTGATTACGAACATTGATTTTCTTAAATTAATGACACTTTGTTAACAAATTCCACACATTATTTTATTTTTACAAAAAATTTATAAATAAATAAATTATTAATCCTCGTATCAAAATACAATATATCATATTCGATCATTTAAAAATAATAATTATAAATTATATATTCAAAATTTTCAAATAATAAATTATTAATTAAATTTAAATCTAAACTCTTATCCTTATAACAAACAAAACAATTTAGTAGAAATAATAAAAAGATGTTAAAAAAGTACTAAAATTTATGGAAAATTCATACGTGAAAGTGATACTTAACTTATTTTTTATGTTATTTAATAATTAATTTCTTGCGGTGGAACTTCGTTGGCAAGAAATTAATTACGTGCCCGCATAAATAAATCCAATCCACACACAAAGTCTCCGGTATTTTAATTTGCTTTCCAATTTCTTTCTTCTTAAGGTTTCATAAACTTTTTTTTTTTTTCTCTTTTCTTTTATTGCTAAGTACTTCTTCATAATAAAGTGCTTAGTTATTCACGACTTTCCATTTTTTTCCATAATTTTATTCTTTTCCTTGTTTTAATAATAATAATAATAATAATATTACATGTATATATATATAACGTGATTAATTTTAAACGATAATATATATTTTTTAAATATTTTTTAAATATTACATTAATAAATAAATTTATAATTTAAATATTAAATTAAAATTTTGTATATAATTTAATAATCATTCATAATATTAATTTGATTATTAAAAATAATTTACATACATGTATTTTTTTATCTAATAAACAATTTTAAGCTATGGGATCTAAATCCAAATTAATTGAGTTATCTAGCTATAAATATCTAAACATTATACATGTGTTTTCTTCATAATATATGAATGTTACAAATATAATTAGATAGAGTAATTATGATAGCTCAATTAACATACCATACAATTTTAAGATAGAATTGAATTCGGATATGATTCTTTGAACCTAATAAATACATTTGGATGTAATATTAAAAGTATTAAATTTTCAATCATTACTAATTTAAATCCAATTTTAATGCTATTATTACTAATTATTGCATATAATTTCATGTATCACGCAATTAAATTGGACTAGGATTCATTTATATATTAATGTAAATTTTATTTTTTTTATCATTAGGTCAAAATTAAAATATAATTAAATTGAATTAAAATAATAGCAGCAAATCCACAATTATAATTTAAAAGATAAGATATTTTCCTTTACATTACAAATAAATCCAACATCCCACCGCCCTGAGTCTCCGACGCAAGACTAACATACTTTTTTTTATTTACAATTAAACAGGTCATTTTTGGGGTGTTGGTGTATCACCTACAGATTCTATCATTCCCACACGTCAAACACGTGTCTCTTTCCCATTGCTCCCGACTACAACAATATCCTTTATTACTAACCACTAACCGCACGCACACGGCGCATGTTAGCACCCGCTTCGGTCTCAAGCGTGACGTGATGACGTCCCGGACTTCCCGTTAACCCAGCTGCAATCAAGTGCGGGCACTGTTAACCTTTTGGACCAATAGTTTCTCACGACGTGGCAAATTCTTAAAGTTTACGCCACGTGGAATTTGGCATCTGGAAAATTCTGATTATTTGATAATCAACGGCGTGGAGAACATAAGATAAGGTACGGCCCTTTGACACACCGACATTACGGCCAATTAAAAATTTATAAGAAAAAATCGCTTCTCCAGGTTTAAAAGGTAATATAATAAAGAGAATTAAATTAAATTCGGTATATTTCCTTCAAGGAGACTGAAGAAGAGAGCGAAGAAAACATCGGAAGGAAAGGGAGGCTAGCTATTAAAGGAAGGCAAGGAGAGAAAAAGAGGTCGTTTTTGGTTAATTGCTGAAATTTCATTAACTGGGGTCTTGTAAATTCTGCTTCCTTTGTCTCCCAATTTTCATGTCTTTGTGTGTGTGTTTTTTTATGGGTTAAGGTTGTCTTCACTGGGCTGAGTTTTGTACTTGTTGTTTTGGTTTTTCTTAATTTTTGTTTGGGATATGAGAAAAGTGAAGGAACTCTATGGGGTGAAAGTGTGTTTTTAAAGCCAAAGGCTTGGGATTTCTTTTTTACTTGTTCTCTTGTGTGTGGATTCAATTTTGTTGGTTCTAGAATTGGTGATCATGGCTAATAATTAAAAAAAAAAAGTTAAGGGTTTTTTAGGTTCAGATTATTGAGTTTGGATTGTTTGTTTGGATAAATAAGGTTTTTTTTTTTTTTTTTTGTGTTGGTTTTCTTTTATTTGTTCTTTTTTTTTTTTTTAATTCCCTCTTATTTGTTGTTGTTCTCTTGTGGACTTTCAAGATTGGTGGTGAAGTTCAAGTGATCATATTTCTTCTTCAAATATGAATTATTCAGTTTATGTAAATATATATATTATTAGTAAAGTGTTAGGCGGTTTATTTCTTGTGCTGCATTGGCTATGGAAAACTAAAAGAATTACTCTTTTAGTCCACTAAATTGAAGATGATCTGGAAATATATTATCTTTTCTTTGCTTTTGTTTCTTGTCTGTTCTTATCTCTCCAATTCTCATTAATCAATCCAATGCTTGTCAACTTTTATTGCATTTGTTTTGTTTTCATGTAATGTATTAGCTTTGTGGCTTTAGCGTTCTAATTTTCCTAAATTACTGGAAATCATTATTTTCTTGTTTGATATCGGTACAGATCACATCAGTTGTGAAAGGAGGTGTCTGTTCAGAAGGGCTTGTTTATGAAGCTTACTGTGCTGCTCCATTGACTATGGTGAGAAATACTGTTTTGGCGTGGCAAGTTTATTCTATTAATTTCTTTTAAGTTTTCTTTCTATTATGATTCAATGAACAAATTTCTCATGCAAATAAATTGTATTGCTGATCTTTTAAGCACTTTTCCGACTTTTTGTGATAAATTTGTTGTGTCTGTAAGTTGTGCTCTTTCTGGGGTTTGGAATATAGCCAACCGGTTATTCATTGCGTTGAGACTGGTTTTGTTTCGTGTTGATTTATTTTGATGCTTCTTGTTACCTTTCATGAATACTGGTTTTTGGTTATTTTGATTTCAGTTAAATGTGTTTTTGGTGGAGTGAAAGACATAGAATGAAGCAAATAACAAAGGGACAATTCTTTTTTTTGTAATTTCTGTCATTTGGATTGTATCCTAAGAAGGAACATAGCACAATGGATACTGGATTGACATGTTTGAGTCCAGTGTAGATTTAAAGTTTCTTTTTCTTGAGCTTCATGTGTGATGCGTGGGCATTTTGAAAGCTACTGAAGCATCTCTATTCCATATTCTGAAAGGAGTTGCAAATGGTTTCATCATGACATTTATTATCCCTTTGCTAAGAAGGAACATGGTTATATGGATACTGATTGGAATTGTGAATTCAGTATAGATTTTAAGTTTCTTTGTCTTAAACTTTGTTCTGATAAATGGGCACTTTTGTTTAGGGTTTAGGGGCAATGAAGTATCTATAGTCCCTATTCTAAATAGAGTTTCAATCGGTTTCATTTTGACATTTATTTTCCCATTGCATTATTATTTAATACCCTGGCAACGTTGAAACATCACATGGTTTTCTATTTCTTCTAAATATGTTAACCCCGTAATGCAATATTGTTTTCCTTATATACCATTAAATAGAACACATGGAAGAGGTAGAAAATCTCCATAGTTTCACCTATATTATATTTTCTATGCATCTCTGATTTTGGTTTTTTTTTATTTTGTTTGGTTCTTGTTAATCTTGCTCTTGCAGTCTTGCTTCTTGAATGTCAAGTTTTTTGCTAAGTTATATTGTTTTTCTTATTACAGTTTTTTTCTTTCTTGGTTGTAATTCTCTATTGCCTATCAGGGATTGTTTATAGCTGAAAAAGGATTTGTTGGCGCGCAATTCCCAAGCAGTAAGTTAGGTTTAAAAGAAGAATCTGGGACATTCAACACATGTGCTCCTTCATGCTCACCATGTGTGCATTCTGAGCAAATGGCAACAAAGACCAATGGTTTTTCAGGCGAAGCCTGTCAAAGAAAGGAGAGTAAGCGTTGCTCTTTTAATGATGCTGATTTGTCATCTCCTCGGATAAATAGTGCATGCAACGATAGAAATCATCCAAGCAGTGAGACAAGCCACCCACTCAGTGCATGCTTGAGTTGTGAATCTGTCTCTGAAAATGCAAAGAGTGATGAAACATTGAGGGATTGTAACACCTCTGAGGGCACTAAGATGATTATAAAACCAAACCTGCTTCAAACTTGTGCAAATAATTGTGGTTCATTGAAAGAACCAATCTTTCATGATAAGGTTGTCTCAAATCAGCTTGAGAAGCTGAAGGAGTCGGAGTGCCTTGGAGATAATATCTCCTTTATTTGTAGATCAGACTGTGCGAAGACAAGGGCTAGTGACCATAACGGTGATGCAGACAAGAAAAATACATCTTATAGCTCTGCTTCAGTTGATAGTTTCTCTGAGACTGAAAAGGCAGTTAATGGTCAGCCTGCTTCTTGTTTAGTTGGCAGTCCTTGTGGCAAGGTAGATGATAATCATCCAAGGAGGTCAAATAGATCTTCCAATGAGTCTTCTCAGGAGATTTTGTGTTGTTCAAACAAATCAGACTTTTCAGAAATTTCATCCTTACGAGATTCCTGTGCTGGTGCTAGCTCGGCAAAGGTGTTCTACATTTTTGAAATTCTTTCTCTTTTATTTGGTGAATTATATATATATATATATATATATATATATATTATATGTATGTATGTACTGCTTTGAAGTTGCTTAGAATTTGAAACTAAAATTTAATCTTCATTTCAGGGAGAACATTCTGAGTGCTCTGAGGAACAAGTCCAATCACGTTTTGCAAGAGCAGATGCCTTACAGGTTGGCAATCGGATTGGTGATGAACATAACTCTGCTGAATCTATACAAGTGGATACTGGAATAAATGAAAGAGCGCAAAAGGCTGAAGTACAGTCCACTACAGTGGCTAAGGAAGTTAATATGGAGGAAACTACTATTGAATCACGGCCAGCTGCTTGTAGTGATGAATCAGACAGCATAGAGTATGAAGTATGTATTGTGTTATTCCTGTTACATTCATGTGTTAGGCATACCTACACTAGGCCTTGACATGGCTAAAAATAGACTAATTTAAACTTCTAGATGGGTAGAAAAAGATGATGAGAAAGCTTTGAATGTTTTCAACAAGTTTATTTTGGCTTGACAAAGAATGGAATAAAATCTATTATGAAGGTTTCCTTTTGACATCTACTTCTCATTTGAAGAGTAGCTATTTGAGGAATTTTTTCATTACTTTCTAATTATGCATGACACAATAATGGTATACCTTCAAGATGTTGCTTCTCATATCCTTGCATCCTTTTGATATCTTCATGGCCACGAGACCCTTGCAAATGAAAATTTTATTTTATTTTCTTGCTTTATTTTCCCGCTCAACAAAGTAAGCCTTCTGTATATTAATTGTTGTCTCTGGATAAGCAGGTAAAAGTTTGTGATATATGTGGTGACATAGGACGAGAGGAGTTGCTTGCTGTTTGTAGCAGGTGCAATGATGGGGCGGAACACATGTAAGTCTTGCGTCTCTGTCTCTCTAATGCATGCATGTTTGCCTTTTTTCTTCATATTTTTACACTTTAAAGTCATGGTGCTTGTGTTTTTAAAGCATCTTCCTTTTCTCGTGGGATAACGGAATGTTGACATTCCATTTCCATGAACCAGTTATTGCATGCGTGTGAAGATGGAAAATGTTCCCAAAGGCGATTGGATGTGTGAGGAATGCATGCTTAGTAAAGAAACTGAGAAGCAAAAGCAAGACAAATTGGAGGGAGAAGTTAGGCTTTTAAAAAAATCATATACTTTGGAATCAGAAACCAAAGGTTTGGAGATTGAGGAAAGCAAAGAACATAAAGTTATTTCAACTCCTTTGTTCTCTTCTAAGAGACCTGCTGGCAGTTTAGAAGCAGTGAGAAAAAGGCCTTTTGGAACAGTTTTGAGATCACCTAGCTCATCGAGTTCCTGCAGCAAAACTTCAATTCATCAATCTGGAGGCCACTTTTCTAGCACTACTATAAAATCTGTGCACATTCCTACCGAATCAAGTAATAAATCGCCTAAATTGTCATCACAATCTCAGGTGTCAAAGGGTATATTTCTCATACACCTTAATATCAGAAGCTGTGCTTCATTAATTAGAATGTCAACATATAATTCTCTTTGACTAACTGAATATGTTTTATTCTGGTATTGCAGGATTTCTTTTTAAGTCAAAATCATTCTCTGCTATGGGCTTAAAAGAGGATGTCCAACTGCTCAAGGACAGCAGTCTCCGCAATGAAGGATTTGCTAAAGAAACTACTGCAAGTGAGAGTAAGGGGAGAGCTCAAATGATGTCTAAATCTATGTCATTGAAGAATTTGAGGTCATATAGTATGAATAATAGTAATCATGACATTAAATTACTTCCTAACTTTTCTCGTGGTGAGGATTTGAAGAGATCAAGGCATCCAAAAGGACAGAATCCTACCAAGACAGAAAAGAAACCGAAATTAGCCAACAGTAATTCATTTGCATCAGTGGCTGAAGAAAGAATTGCATCTCCTGGCAAAAATAGTTTGCCTCACCCTTCCAGTTCCTCTTGTCATGATCTAATGGCTGTGAAGGACCAAAAAATATCAGATAATTCATTGAAAATATCTGGTCATTCTGCACAAGGAGGTTCTCCAAATGAAGAGAAAAAGAGAGTTGTCAATGTCAAGCAGCATGTTGAGTACTCTACAGAAATGGTGCCTGCTACTAATTATTCAAATGCCAATGCCCATTCTGATGAACGGCCTTGCCTGAGAGATTCCTCTGTGTTTGCTTTTGAAGTTCATATGCCTTCTTGGATTTCTGCTGTTCCACAGCTCGATTTTATTTGGCAGTATGGTCTTTTTTTCCTTTCTTATTGTTTGGTTTGAAGTTTGTCAATGGCTCTTCATCTTACTGCTTCACTGCTCCGCTCTTCACTTTTCGGTGTCTTATACAATACCTTTTGACATGTCTTACAGAGGCAAGTTTGAAATCCAAAGGAGTGGAGGATTTCCATTATCTTGTGATGGAATGCAAGCACACTTGTCAACTTATGCCTCACATGAAGTTCTTGAAGTAGTGCAGACACTGCCTCAAAAATTATTGTTGGCGGAAGCACCTCGATTGAGCATGTGGCCCTCTCAATTCATTAAAAGTCATGCTACCGAAGATAATATTGCTCTCTACTTCTTTGCTAAAGACCTCGACAGGTTTGTGAAAATATTTCCTTGAGTAGAAGAGCTAATTTTCTTCTGATAACTTAAGTTTTTAACATGCTTCTTGTGCAGTTATGAAAGAAGCTATAAGAACCTGTTGGATAGGATGATTAAGGATGATTTCAGCCTCAAAGGGAACTTTGGTGGGGTTGAGCTTTTAATATTCTCTTCTAACCTACTTCCAGAAAAATCTCAGCGTAAGAATTTGATAGCTATATTTAGCCTGCGTCTATAAAAGCAAAATGAAATATATGTATTCATTTTTTGGCTAAATTTACAATGTTTCAACATTGCAGGTTGGAATAACTTGCTGTTTTTATGGGGTGTATTTAGAGGAAAGAGGTCTCACTGCTCAGGACAGATTCCAGCCGTGTCTGCTTCTGAGAATTTGCTCCCTCCTGGAAAGTCAAGTCAAAGTATATCTGCATCGCCGGTAACTTGTAATACCCATAAAACATTAAATTCCAACACTTTGCTTGATTCAAAGGCAGTTACTTCTGGAATGATGGTTGAAGTTTGTGAAACCAAAGCTTCTTCTTGGGAGCAGAAACCCCTAGATTTACAAACAAGTTGTAGTCAGCAAGTGGGCAGAGTTGGTTCATCTCAGGTAAATTTTTTGCTTCAACTTGTTTGTTGATATCTGTCCATTAAAAAGGAAAAAGGTAGAGAGGAAGAGATACTAGAGACTGTGGCTTGTCTCCTTAAATTTATTAGCCTGGTCTCAAGCATTGAGTAGCCTGTGCTGTTTTCTTTTGATGTCCATGTATAATGTTCTCACTGATGAAACATTGCTTTGGTTGCTTACATACTTTTGCTGTTTTAGCTCCTACGATAAGTATTTAATTTTTTTATATCTGTTTTGGTTTTGATGACTAGAGGCCAACTACTGATGATGTAGTGTTTCTTGCAGAGAGAAACGAGGTCTCACTGCTCAGGACAGATTGCAGCCGTGTCTGCTTCTGAGAATTTGCTCCCTCCTGGAAAGTCAAGTCAAAGTATATCTGCATCGCCGGTAACTTGTAATACCCATAAAACATTAAATTCCAACTCTTTGCTTGATTCAAAGGCAGTTACTTCTGGAATGATGGTTGAAGTTTGTGAAACCAAAGCTTCTTCTTGGGAACAGAAACCCCTAGATTTACAAACAAGTTGTAGTCAGCAAGTGGGCAGAGTTGGTTCATCTCAGGTAAATTTTTTGCTTCAACTTGTTTGTTGATATCTGTCCATTAAAAAGGAAAAAGGTAGAGAGGAAGAGATACTAGAGACTGTGGCTTGTCTCCTTAAATTTATTAGCCTGGTCTCAAGCATTGAGTAGCCTGTGCTGTTTTCTTTTGATGTCCATGTATAATGTTCTCACTGATGAAACATTGCTTTGGTTGCTTACATACTTTTGCTGTTTTAGCTCCTACGATAAGTATTTAATTTTTTTATATCTGTTTTGGTTTTGATGACTAGAGGCCAACTACTGATGATGTAGTGTTTCTTGCAGAGAGAAACGAGGTCTCACTGCTCAGGACAGATTGCAGCCGTGTCTGCTTCTGAGAATTTGCTCCCTCCTGGAAAGTCAAGTCAAAGTATATCTGCATCACCGGTATCTTGTAATACCCATAAAACATTAAATTCCAACACTTTGCTTGATTCAAAGGCAGTTACTTCTGGAATGATGGTTGAAGTTTGTGAAACCAAAGCTTCTTCTTGGGAGCAGAAACCCCTAGATTTACAAACAAGTTGTAGTCAGCAAGTGGGCAGAGTTGGTTCATCTCAGGTAAATTTTTTGCTTCAACTTGTTTGTTGATATCTGTCCATTAAAAAGGAAAAAGGTAGAGAGGAAGAGATACTAGAGAGTGTGGCTTGTCTCCTTAAATTTATTAGCCTGGTCTCAAGCATTGAGTAGCCTGTGCTGTTTTCTTTTGATGTCCATGTATAATGTTCTCACTGATGAAACATTGCTTTGGTTGCTTACATACTTTTGCTGTTTTAGCTCCTACGATAAGTATTTAATTTTTTTATATCTGTTTTGGTTTTGATGACTAGAGGCCAACTACTGATGATGTAGTGTTTCCTGCAGAGAGAAAAGAGGTCTCACTGCTCGGGACAGATTCCAGCCGTGTCTGCTTCTGAGAATTTGCTCCCTCCTGGAAAGTCAAGTCAAAGTATATCTGCATCGCCGGTATCTTGTAATACCCATAAAACATTAAATTCCAACACTTTGCTTGATTCAAAGGCAGTTACTTCTGGAATGATGGTTGAAGTTTGTGAAACCAAAGCTTCTTCTTGGGAACAGAAACCCCTAGATTTACAAACAAGTTGTAGTCAGCAAGTGGGCAGAGTTGGTTCATTTCAGGTAAATTTTTTGCTTCAACTTGTTTGTTGATATCTGTCCATTAAAAAGGAAAAAGGTAGAGAGGAAGAGATACTAGAGACTGTGGCTTGTCTCCTTAAATTTATTAGCCTGGTCTCAAGCATTGAGTAGCCTGTGCTGTTTTCTTTTGATGTCCATGTATAATGTTCTCACTGATGAAACATTGCTTTGGTTGCTTACATACTTTTGCTGTTTTAGCTCCTACGAAGTATTTAATTTTTTTATATCTGTTTTGGTTTTGATGACTAGAGGCCAACTACTGATGATGTAGTGTTTCTTGCAGAGAGAAACGAGGTCTCACTGCTCAGGACAGATTGCAGCCGTGTCTGCTTCTGAGAATTTGCTCCTGCCTGGAAAGTCAAGTCAAAGTATATCTGCATCACCGGTATCTTGTAATACCCATAAAACATTAAATTCCAACACTTTGCTTGATCAAAGGCAAGTTACTTCTGGAATGATGGTTGAAGTTTGTGAAACCAAAAGCTTCTTCTTGGGAGCAGAAACCCCTAGATTTACAAACAAGTTGTAGTCAGCAAGTGGGCAGAGTTGGTTCATCTCAGGTAAATTTTTTGCTTCAACTTGTTTGTTGATATCTGTCCATTAAAAAGGAAAAAGGTAGAGAGGAAGAGATACTAGAGAGTGTGGCTTGTCTCCTTAAATTTATTAGCCTGGTCTCAAGCATTGAGTAGCCTGTCTGTTTTTCTTTTGATGTCCATGTATAATGTTCTCACTGATGAAACATTGCTTTGGTTGCTTACATACTTTTGCTGTTTTAGCTCCTACGATAAGTATTTAATTTTTTTATATCTGTTTTGGTTTTGATGACTAGAGGCCAACTACTGATGATGTAGTGTTTCTTGCAGAGAGAAAAAAGTGAGTCAAAGAGGAGACCTGAAATTGATCTCAACTATTCTCTTCAAGAAAGCGAAGAGTATTCCGCAGACTATATGGAGTTTGATGGAAGACATGACTGCAAGAAGTTGAAGAGTTGTCCTGGTGAAATGAACATAGGTAATAATAGCATCAAGGATATAAATGAGAGACGTTCCATTGCTATAAATGGCAAAGGTCCTAGCATTTCTGGTGAGTTGAGCTGCAATGGAGCTTATGATATGTCAATAGTTTCTCCTCAGTTAGCTTCCGCGGCAGGTAATATGCATAGGTGGAAGTCGTCCTTGCAGCCGCAAGTTCTTTCAAATGACAGTGGGAATCCACAAGATCCCAGTGTTTCAGGTCTTGAGCTTAAGCTTGGGATTGAAAGGAGTTCTTCAGAGCAGGGAAATACGCCGCCCAAAATTTTCATTCTGATGGGCAGTGAAGATTTACAAGACCAGAACTCTGAAAGAGAAACAAGTGGTGACACTAATCCTTCACTTGCACTTTCCCTTGCATTGCCTTCTTCTAAGACGGGCGGCAGAGGATTGAAACTTGATTCAGAGATGAATTTACCCACTTGCCCAGAGGTGAACACCACACTGTCACTTTTTGGTGCATCTTTAGAATCTTGAGGTATAGAAAAATGGAATGTAAATAGAGTTGCCTACATCACTGATAACAAACTATAGTTTACAAACTTTAATATGAAATCATACTCAGAAGCTTTCTCAACAACTCATGAATAATAGTTGTCAAAAAATAAATTGTGGATTTAGCTAATCTTTATTTATATGATACAGTAGCCTTTGTTTAATGGTTGGTTTATTTGTTCATATTCAAAGGTACATTTAAATTTTAAGAGGTTTGAATAAAAAATTAAAATTTATTAAACGAATTTGGTATAATTTTTAGTTTGTTTAAATTTTGGGTCGGATTTTAAATAAAAAATTAAAATTTTAGCTTGAATTAGTCTGATTTAAATAAGAAATATATAATTAAAATATTATAATTATATAAATATATATTTGAATTTTTATTTTTATATTTTACTTTTTATTATATAAATTAAATTTAACGAAAGAGCTTGAAATTTATTATATTTAATTTGAATTGGATTGGAAAAAATTTTGAAATTTGAAATGTTTTATTTGATTAAATCTAAATAAACATATAAATTATTAATATCAATTATAAATTTGATCTAAATTCAATTCAATGCATGTACATTTCAATTATCCTCTTATTATTTATGAAATTAAGTTTAAACTTTACATATATTTTCTGTAAACTTATAGAAAATAAAATCAAAATTAATTAATGATGAGACATGGATGGGATAGAAAGAAAATTCATTCGAAAATGAAAATAATAAACCCCCCAAAAAATTCATGAAATTGCTTTTCATGCTGGCTGAAGCTGGTCCACTTGATGCGTTGAAAGGCCAATTCCTCAGGGCTTACAAGACCATAGCAATCACTGTATCAGCCATGTATGTACTGCCACGGCTACTACGTGAAGGGCATCAGTCACCATTCACCAAACACTCGGTGTAGTGAGAGCAAAAGACAAAGAGAAAGGCCGGGAGTTCTTGGCCTCTGCTTGTAAATCCACAATTTTGTACACATATCAAAACCAAAAGAAACAATCCCATTACAACCACAATCTCTCTGTTTCTGTTTCTTTGTGTGAAATCCACTCTCCTCCCGAGTTGTTGCTTCGTTTCCTCTCTCCTTCGAGTCCCTAACCCAACCACTCTCTTGTGGCTCTCAATCATACCCAAAGATTCATTTCACGTTTTTTCTTTTATTCCCTAGATTCTTTCATCAGTCTCTCACCCTACAAAAACCCATTAAAAAAAAAGCTTCACCAAACACACCCCTAAGAAATAAAATAAAATAAAAACTCTCTTTCTGGTCATATTTTGTTCTGTATCTCTTTTTTGGTTCATTGGTGAACTTTATCAAACATTTTTGGATCTGATTAATGGGTTTTCTATTGTTTTAATCAGATTTGATCACTTGGGTTGGGACTTAACTCTATCGAATTCGAGTATCTTTCATTGTGTTGCGCTTCTAAGGTGAGATTCCTTGTTCTTGTCGAATATGCGGAATGTAGATGTAAAAGTCATTTGGTTTTCTGGGACCCTGTTTTGGTATTTCATATATATTTCGTAATTTTTTTAAAGTTCCAATTTTTTGGGAACTATCCCTTGTTTGTTAACTTTGATTGAAATGCGTGATTTTATGTTTTAATATAAAACCCCAGTTCTAAAATGGTGTAAAAGATTAACCTTTGGACTTGTAGCAGAAGCCTGTCAGATCCACAGTTACTGCATTTATGGACTCTTTGGTGTTCTTTGCTTCAAAAATGTATTTTAGATTTTATTTTGTTTTTTATGAACGCTGGCTTACAACTTGTCTGATGACTTTTTTACCATTAGTTAATTTGGCTTGTGCTTAATTTCTTGCCTAACTTCCTTTCCTTTTATTATTAGTTTGATAGTCTTTTTCCTCTTAAATTATCATTTTGCAGTTGAGAGCTTAAAATATTTCAATGCTTTGTTTATGTTTATGAATAATACGAAGAAACGTTTGGAATTGAATCTTGGTCTTAATAAATCGATGGTATGAAGTTTAGTTCTTGAGTTTCTTAAACCCTGCTTACTCTTGAGCTACACCACTTTTTCTTATTATTTTGTAATATAATATCTGTGTTCAAAATTGGCTTCCATAGTGAACCATATTCCTGCTATCGAAACCACCATATTCTATCAAACTTAATCACACTACCTTTGTTTTCTTCAAGTAGTTGTGATGTCTAATGTTACCATACTATCAGCTATTGTCAAATCTTAGCTCAAATGAGTGTCTCCTCTGTTGTTCAAGCCAAAGAAATTTATGCATCAAGTTTCAAGGACAGACCTATTTTTGAGATGGAGAATGATTTTTGAATTTTGATTTTGTGCTTGTTTGCTGGCTTAAGCTGTTCACCTGCTGCTAATTATTAACTTTTCCCTATCTTCAGTTCACATAAGTGTCATATACTACTAATATTTTGATCTACCTTATGTGGACCCTTGCTGTAGAGTAAAGCTGGTTTTGTTACCGGAAATATGCGTACTGGTTTATTATCGGCCAATGAGAACCATAGCATATGTTGTTCTATTTTAAGTGATGGACACAGTTACAGTGGAAAGGGTTGCGAGTAAGAGATTATTTATAGGTGCATTCTCCCCTATATAGACATAAGATGTTGCATAAGAGATATGTTAGTGGATCTGCCCCTTTTATTAATGGGAATGATGTTCTCCTGGAGCTAATCCAGTTGTAATTGTTCCCAAGGACAAAAAATGTGGAGAGTAGTGGAAGCACTGGTTGGTGCGTGAATATTCTATCCATATATGTCCAACATAGTGGTTTTGTTTCAAAAGCCTGCATATGATAAGCTATTTTAATTTCAAATAATGTTCAATTTACTAGTCAGTACCTCCCTTAACAATTATTTCTCCAAGGCTCATCCTGTCAAAATTTTATAATACTAAGAGAGATAATAGATGCAACACTCCTTGTTTGGTGATATTATAATGGAAGCATTCAACTTTAAAATAAATCAATAGCAAAACTGGTTTCATTGAAAATTATTGCACATGAATTGTTGCAAACTTGAAGCTCAAGTGAGGTTCTTTGTAATTGTAATCCAATTATTAGGGGAAAACACCTTTCCATTATTCGATGCCACTTTAGTAAATTAATTGTTTTACTACATTCTTAACTTCTGCAGATGGTAGACATAGCTAAGGACCTAACATCTGGAACTGTTGGTGGGGCAGCTCAGTTGGTAGTCGGGCACCCTTTTGATACCATCAAGGTTAAGCTCCAAAGCCAGCCTGCTCCACTTCCTGGGCAACCACCCAAGTATGCTGGTGCTATGGATGCAGTCAAGCAAACTTTAGCTGCTGAAGGCCCAAGGGGTTTGTATAAAGGTATGGGGGCTCCACTGGCCACTGTGGCTGCATTTAATGCCGTCCTCTTTACGGTGAGAGGGCAAATGGAGGCATTGTTGAGATCAGAGCCTGGTGCTCCCCTCACAGTTAGCCAGCAGGTCGTTGCTGGGGCTGGTGCTGGAGTTGCTGTTTCATTCTTAGCTTGCCCCACTGAGTTAATCAAATGCAGGTCAACATCTTGGCTTTTCTCCTATCACTTTATAGTTATTGTATCAATGATCTCTTTTTTTGACATTTTCAAGTAAATTCTTGACTTCTTTTAACATCTGCACAACCTGGATGTATGGAGTGCTAAGAAGTTTTTTAAAAATAATTTCCCCTTTGTCAATTGGGTGAGATAACTATGAACTCATAAAGCCCTCAAACCTCGTATTTACTTCTTGGGTCTTATGGTAAAAGCAGATTGCAAGCCCAGAGTGCATTGGCAGATTCCGGCTCAGCTGGTGTGACAGTGAAGTATGGAGGGCCAATGGATGTTGCCAGGCATGTTCTGAGGTCAGAAGGTGGTGTAAGGGGTCTCTTCAAGGGATTGGTTCCCACCTTGGCACGTGAGGTTCCTGGAAATGCTGCTATGTTTGGTGTCTATGAAGCGCTGAAGCAGTACATGGCAGGAGGGACAGACACTTCTAAATTAGGAAGAGGCTCTTTAATTGTGGCTGGAGGCTTGGCTGGAGCTTCATTCTGGTTCTCTGTCTACCCAACTGATGTTGTCAAGAGCGTGATCCAGGTAGATGATTACAAAAATCCCAAATACATTGGCTCCATAAATGCCTTTAGGAGTATCTTAGCTTCAGAGGGGATGAAAGGCCTGTACAAAGGGTTCGGCCCTGCCATGGCACGAAGTGTCCCTGCAAATGCAGCATGCTTCTTGGCATACGAAGTGACAAGGTCTAGTTTGGGCTAATCACTTACCTGTGCACTCTGATTTCTCACGAAGTATGGTTAAAAAATTTGCCTTTGTTATGATATTTCTTTTATCAAAGCCATTTTCTTTGTCAATGAATTATGCCGGTTGAACGAAGTTTTGGATATAAGATGACAGGCTCTCCATTCTTGAAGATTGCTGTACCTTCCATGACTGACTGGAAGAAAACAATATTCTTTCATCAATTACCCATATTTACATTTACTCCCTGCTAAAATAAAGTACTTATATTTTTCTTCAAGGGATTTTGCAGATGATTTTCATTGCATGATATATATATAAATATATTTATATATATTTATATTTATATTTATATCTCTGAGAAGTGAGAACTGAGCTTCTGTTATTTTCATTTTCATTTTCATTTTTGTGGGTTGGGGGATGTAACTCAGGACCAAAAGTATTGATCTGGCCCAAAAGGGAAAAAAAAATCCAAATTGCTCCATCTCTGATAACTGAGACTCACAAGTAACTCAGCCCATGCATAAATTTGTGGGTTTACAAGCAACAAAGTTAGACAAACCAAGTTTCATATTGGGTCAGAAGAATCCACTGAAATAGGCTGATGGAGCATTGAACAATGGGCCTGCTAGCCTCCACGTGTAGCTAGCTTTGACCAGATCTTCTGCCACGTACGGTAACGAACTAGCGCATGACTTGCAAGGCTGACAGAAAAGGAGGGAATGTATAACCAACCGCTTCAGACTTTGATAGCTCTAGAGTAAAAGCACAACCACTTATTCAATGATCTAAACCCAAATCTCAACAACAAATGGAAAATGGAAGAAGATCTCACTCCTCAATGCCTCTTGTTTCCAGGATGGATCATTTGGATTTCATTGTGAGTCTCTCTCTCTATCATATATATATAACACACCAATAGTTAACGAGTTGCATTTGGTTTCAAACTTTATGCTTTGGGATTTTGTTTTCATAGATGAAGTATTTAGAAGGAAAACGAAGTTTGCAGAAAGGAATGGAAAAGGAACGCATGCCATTAGATTTGGCAATGAGAGAAGCTTACTTCAAAGGGTCGTTGTTGGACAGGGTGACATCTCTTGAACATAGACTTTTTCAGGTAAATTAAAGTAATGCTTTTCTTAATTTCATTGTTAAAAAACAGAAACAAAACCAACAATAGTGCGGTGGGATTAAAAGGGAAAAACATTTATTGAGATTTCAAGTATGTTAAATCAACTATGATGGCATAAAAGTATTTGATGTCGTTTCAAGCTTTCAAAGATGGTTTGCGTCATGCATGTCACCAAGCTTGATAAATCATTCTAAAACTACGAGTTATCAACCATTAACGTTCATTACTGTTTGCATATGAAAATGTGATTTTGACAAGAGTAGTAGTGGGATGAATAGAAAATTTGGATAATTTGATTCGCCATTTAATGCTAGGATAATATATTTATTTATTACAAAAGATATCAACTTGTTCATCAAAGCCTTAACCCCACTTTTACTCAATACTTTAAGCTCTCCTTTGGCTCCTGAAAACAACTTAAGGGTAAAGTTCATTAAAGCAAAGATTAAAGTTAATCTGGGTAGGAGTTTACACTTTACACAAACACACACAGCTTAAACAAAAAAAGGTTAATCTGACTCCTTTCTCCTTACTAAAATACCTGCCTTTAACACTACTCTTTGTGGTTAACATGGTCAATAGCTACATTTGATTAAACATCATGGCTACATCTCATTGATTTCTCAGATGGATCATTATCCAAAACATGGTTAAAATTTGAAGAATCATTATTCTAAACATTTTAATCTAATGACAACAATTTAATATAATGAACTTTTTTTTAATCTACAAAATTAATTTTATTATTAAAATTTTAATTTGTAATAAATAAAAATTAATTTAAAATGATAATTTAGAATTTTAATGAATAAAATATTTTATAACATCTTTTAGTGGAATCTTAAACATTAATTAAATATAATTAGAAACATGCATTTTAACATCATAAACTTGCCTTTTCTTTCCCTTGTTGTAGCTATGCTTGGAGTTGGAATCTAGTAGCACTTCAACATCCACATCTGGTTGTGCAACTTCCAGTGTAGGATCCAGATCAGGGCAACCAATATCTCACTCATTACCAACTTTCACCAGCTCAAATCAAGCTCACAAACAAGCATCTCATCAAGCTCTGTTTACCAGGTCTGAAATTCAGGTAACTAATGTCTCCAATATTCTCCTCGCACCCACAAAGACAACATTAATAAAACTATTGTTAAGCAACCTCATCAAGAATCTTGACACCCCCACTAAGTTAGTTCATCATAATATATATGTATGTATATATATATATCATTAAAGCAATATGCTCCTTTCATTGATAAGAAATTCACGAAATACGTTTGATTATATATGTTCATCATCTTTGGAATCCTTTTGTTTGGCCAAAGCGAGTTATATATTCCAAACTTATCATGTGATATCCAGATCAGTTATTCCTAATGGAGTTAGGCAAACATCCAAAAGAGATATCATCTGATTTGAAATCCTTTTTGTTTAGGTCAAGTGAACAGTAGTCTGGACCTAATAATTTTGACTTCTTTATGATCTCAATTCCTTGTATTCTTATTAACAAAAATTTTGATGGGAAGTAGTGCGATATTTTGGACAGGAAGAATCTGAAGCAATATTGCTACAAAAGAAGAAAGATCCAAATCCTCTTAAGGATCAAGTTGGGAACAAAAGAAGCATCAAGAAAGAAAAAACAGGCAAAAGTGGAAAGAAGGTATCTCCCAAGTGGTCACATTGGAAAATATTGGGTTGCTAATTAACCTGCCTTTCTCTCCAACTTGTAGTTTAGTTCTTCAAACTTTTTTTTTCTTTTCAATGACATATTTGGATATGCCAATTTCAATTGTTTAAATTAGTTTTACCCTCTTGGTTGCTGTAATCTCAGCTATGCCAGGTTGCAATGACTTGTTAAGACATCTTGTAGGTGTATTTCTCTTTCCCCCCTCGCTAATAAACAAATAAAGAGGCCTAACTTTCTCTCATGGGGAACTGAATCTTCCATGCTTTAGAAGTCAAATATGAAAGCAGACAACATATATTACATTGAAGTTTAAGATTAATGAAAAAAATTTATATAAATGAATTCAAAACTTAACTTAATTTTATTATAACGTCACTATTAAAATATAACATACAATATGTATAAAATTCAAATCACAATACTTATTATTATTATTATTATATTTATCAAGCTGCTGCTTTCTCTTTTTATCTAAAAAAAATTCAGATAAACAATTGAAATCTTTGAAGGATTAAGACTTTTTTTTTTTTTTGTCATCATGGAGAAGCAACTGGCTCGATAGTTCCAAGCCTCAAAGCATAGTTTTCCTGTCAAGACAAAAGGGTGTCACTTAATTCTTAGATATAATGATTAAAAACCAATATACCAAGCCTAAATTATTTGCTGATTAGCTAATGCATTAAGATAAAACAACTGGATGGAATCAGAAACCAGAATACCAAAATTAGACAGAATTTAGACGCAAATGGAAAATTCAACATCATGTCTTATCAATGGGACTAAGTCTAGAACCATTCATTTGAAAAGTGATGGCCAAGAAATGTCCACAATCCTTCCAAAAAACAAAAAAAAAGCGAAACATAAATTGATAAAACATCGAGGGGGGAACCACAAGTCATGGAAGAAAAGAGTGGCTAGATGCTTGATTTCCATGGAAAAATTATAAATCAATGTTTTCCCAATTGTTTTAATCGAGAAGATCAATTTCATATGTAATTTGGTCAACAAAAGGAAATTTAGATCATAAAAAAAAAAGATAAATTTAAAAAATACATTGTGGGTTGAGTTGTATTTATGGATGTGCACAAACTATGAAAGAAGTGGTTTGCTTAGCTGGATTAGCGTGGAATGATGTGGACTCCCCTCTTTAATTTCCCACTTTTGGTGCTTAATTAATTAATTACCAATTAGTTAATTAATAGTTAATCAAATAATTCTCTGGTTCATATTATGTCAAATTTTGATTGCAAATTTTGGGCAACTCTCTATTTTTCTAAATTTTTTTATATTTATGAATTTAATGAAATTTTTAATTGACCTTTTTTTTTTTTTTTGAAAATAAATTGCCCGCCACATAATTGATGTAATGTGAAGTGACTTTGAGAATACGATATAAAGTAGCAGCCATCGAAAGAAAATAAGCTGAATGCGAAACCATCGTCAATACTAAATGCTCACAATTAAATCTGAAAATTTTCACTTTTGTAATTAATTAAAACCTGGAAATACAACAGTCGAAACACATTTGTCATGTTGTCTCTGACGGCTGTCTTTCCCATTTACCTTCGGAGTTCGGGCAATATATAAAATAATTTTAATTCATGACTCAACTATATATATATTTTTTTATCCAAAATTTTAACCAATATCTAACAATCTTAAGTATCAAATATCATTTATTTTATTATTGATTTAATTAATAAGATTATTTTTTGTGAAATAATCTCGATATACAATCTATAATTATTATTTTTTAAATTTTAAATATGATATATTTTATCATTTTTTTATTTAAAGAAAATAAAACCCTTATAAAAAAAATCTTAATTCAAAATCAAAATTTTTATATTTTTATAAAATCTTTTTAATTATTAAATTAAGAGGTGAAAGACACATGTTTAAAGACTAAATAATTTATTTAAAATTTTCACACAAAAAAAATATATCATTTACTCTGATTTAAAAGGGGTAAAAACAATAAATATTAATGAAACATACAGCAATAAGTTAGAGGCAGGATGATCTGTCAGGCAAACAACATCAAATCCTCTGAGCGCAGACCCAGCTGTCCCCTTCACCCCTTTTTCTTAAAAAAAAAAGTCTTAAAATTATTAAATATTATTTTCTTAATTCCTATTTTACCCTCTATCATTCCTCATAATCCCTTTCCCTTATAAGCCCCCAATAAACCCCTTCCCTTATCTTTCTCTCTTCCCTTTTGCCCTCCTGAATGGCAGACCCAAAAACCGAACCTTCTTCTTTAATGCCCGACCCACCACCCGACTCCGAAGCCACCACCCACCACCTCACCATCCCTCCCGGGTTGGCCCACGATGAGTTCTGTGAGTTAATCCCTGCCATCACTCAGTTCCATACCTACGCAGTGGGTCCAGGCAAATGTTCTTCCTTATTAGCCCAACGTATCAACGCCCCACATGACGTTATTTGGTCCGTCGTCCGCCGTTTCGACAAACCCCAAACTTACAAACACTTCATCAAAAGCTGTGCCGTCAAAGAAGGTTTCCAAATGGTCGTGGGTTGCACGCGTGACGTCAACGTGATCTCCGGGTTACCGGCTGCTACCAGTACTGAACGACTCGATATTTTAGATGATGAGCGACAGGTCACCGGTTTTAGTATTATTGGAGGGGAACACCGGTTGAGGAATTACCGGTCGGTGACGACGTTGCATGGTTTCAAGCGTGACGGGAGGATCTGGACCATCGTTTTGGAATCTTACGTTGTTGATGTTCCGGAAGGGAATACGGAGGAAGACACGCGGCTGTTTGCTGATACCGTTGTCAAGTTGAACTTGCAAAAGCTGGCGGCCGTCACCGAAGGGTTAGCGCGTGATGGTGACGGTAATAATCACATGTGATGTGAAAATGAAAAAAGAAAAAAAAAAAGAGGTATTTATGTTTTTTTTTTTGGATTTTGTGATTATGTTTTTTTTCTTTAAATTTTCTAATTTTAAGGTTTTTGGGGTTTTTCCTTTGTGAAATTACCAGAAAATCCTTATGGTCAATAGATTGACTGGAATGTTGGTGTGGACTGTGGATAAATATGGTAAGGGCGTTTAAGTCAATGCATTTGTACATAAACGTTTTCGGTTGAACCAATATTAATGCATTTTGTTTTTTTTTTTTTTTTTTTTTTTTCCATTTTTTTGTGGCCTTTTTTCCTTTACTAAGCATTAAATTTCGAGTGAAGTGGTAAGCTGGCCCAAACGGATTTTACTTGTAATGGTAAGGGTTTGAAATTTGGAAAGAGCTCTCGTTGGTAGAGATAATCTAGGTGATTATTGATGCTCCACTGACATCATTTTCGCCAACATTTTAGAACAAAAAAAAATTTCGAGTAAAGTGGGGGATTAAAGAAGCAATGGTTGGCTAAGAATCTCGACTTTGAGAGCATTTTTTTTTCTTTTGTATTCTCAAATACCTTGAATTAAGACAAAGGCTGTCTTATATGTGTCAGCTCCCTCCATCCAATATCGCTTTTGTCGAATATGTGCTTTTGACTTTTCCCTTAAAACTCTCAAGAATCTACTATTCACCATATATGGTTTCTGTTAACCAAAAAATATTTTCTTAATGTGATAGACAACATGAAAAAGAAAAAAAAAAGGACAGGATAATGTCTGCCCTTTGATCTGATAGTCAAAAGACATAGGAAGGTATGATAATAGTATAATGCCGAAAACGCTATTTAATTCGAGAATTTTAGGAGTTGGAGCTGGAATTTCAGGTTCATTGCGATGGAGATTTAAGTATGCAAGCAATGATGATCAATGTCTAAAAACTTCCTCATGTTCTTTGTTTTAGCTTTAGGCTTATTTGTTTTCTTCCCTCTTTTCTTGCTCCTTTTCACTCCTTGATGACTTTAGAAAACTGGGTGAGATGACCTGCCCCCAATTTCGTGTCTCGTTATCTAGCAGTGCACAAGCAATGAACCACCAGTTTCGTCAAGGTGTGGACCAAGGGCTAGTCATTTGGCTAATGGTCCCCGGCTAGGAAGAAAGCAAAGAACCACCAGTTGCGTCAGGTGGGACTGCGTTTTATACATCAAGAATCTTAAAGGGAAAGAAATAAAAGGGTGAGAGAGTAGCACAAGAGTTGGGTCAGGCAAAGTATGGTGGAATTTCTTGGGAGGCTAAAAAATTCAGAAAAAAAAGAGGTCGTTTCTGGTAAGTTCATTCAGCCCCAGATTCTATTTTAAGCTATAAAGGTCAAAAAAGGTGTTGTCATTTTGTTGGGCCAAAAGGTCTTTGACTCTTGACACCCACCATAATGTTGCAAGGGTTTCTTTGTACCCACATTGACCCTACGTTTTTTCTACAAATGATCATATGAACCATCCGATCACAATCCTGCACAGTTCATTAATACCAAATGCTACTATCGATCATGCCATGATTTTGATGGCTCATTGTTACTGGCGGGGTTTCTCCCGGCATCATAGTTAGTTTATGCCGGCTCTTACATTATTGGATTGCAACTCAAGATCATACATACATATTTGTATATTATAATATTTGGGCCATAACTATTTAAGCCGATCTGTCATGTTCCTGAGTTTTCAGATACAGAGAATGGATGGGATTAATCATCAGTAAGAAAATATGTTACGTACAATGTGGAGTATTCGTGAATAATATAAAATGAAACGATGAGATTCGGCCACGTGGGTTTCTTGATGGAGATAGAGTTGATAAAAAATTCAAGAGCAGAAGCGGATGGGAGGGAACGGAAGGGAGAGGTAGGGTTGACTCTGATCATTAACTAATGGAGTTTGGATTTACGTGAAATATATAGGTATGAAATGAGTTATATCTTTCCCATGGCGGCACCTACAATTCACCAACTCTTTTACACGAACGAAGCAATGAATGCCTTATGTTTCCCTTCAGTTTACTATTTTCTTTTCCCTTTCTTCTAAGGTCTAGCCATTCTTTTATATCTCGAACGTGACGACTTATGCAAAGTAAAGGTTTGTTAATGCAATAGTATCTTCTTTAGTTCATATATGAACAGCTTGCTGAGGTTAATGGTTTGCTGCTTGGTTCCCTTCTTTCTTCCCTTTTTTGGTAGAGTCAAGTGCTTTACTGGACTTGAGGAATTCGAGTTGGAGACAAGCCTTGCAATTTATGTAGCAAGCCATTATCAATTAGACGACATCGCCAACGTGAAAGATGCTTTGAGTTGATGATGTAATGATTCGTCTGGCATCTCAGGAGCATGTAAGAAAACTTTGAAACTAAGGTCAATACAAGTTTGGGAATCGCCCATTTGTTTAAATTAAAGATGGAAGTTCTTCGAAATTTCCTTCTTTCTTTTTATAATTAGTAATATTTTTTCTTGCATATGTTGACTATTTGATCAATTAATGCAGAGTTCTTCGTAAGGTAGATATGGTTTCATTATCATACAGTTGCACAAAAATGATTTAAAATGTAAAACACAGGGTAATTAATGCTGTTGTTAGCTTACACCTTAAAGACATGACTGATAAGGTTTCATTTGGATTCATTTCTTTTTGGTATCTGATCGATAAACTTCAACTATATCAAAACATGATATAGTTTAGGATATTTTTTATATTGAATTTAGTATTGAGCAATACTGATTGTTTTTGTTAGTTTCAACTAATTTTAATAGATTAATTTGTTTTAGTCGATATATAAATGTAAAATATATTTTGTAAGTTTTAATTTATTTTTTATTTTTTATTATTTTAACCTAATAAAAATAAAATTAATTGATAAAATAATTTTTTAAACTTAATTTTTTTTTTTTATTGTAACTTAGTTTTTTATATTTTATTTTTTAAAATCAAAATTCATAAATATTTTAATCTCTTTTAAAAAAGTAAGTATACTCTATTTCTAATGCTTAACAATCGTGAAACTAAGATTAATTTTTTCATCTCTTTATTTTTGTTTTAGTATTTACATTAAAAAAATACTTATTTAAATATCATATGATTAGATTAAATATTTAAAAATATCACAAAAATTTTATGATATTATTTCTATACATTTAAACTTATTTATTTGATTTTTGAAGATATTACATATTTATTTTGTATATTATTAATAGTATTATAATGCATAAATTCATATATATTTTTAAATATATTTATATTAAATAAAAAAAATTTAAAATAATATATCAAAACTATTGATATCAATATATACTATATTTTAAAAAAAATCAAAACATTGTCTAATAAAATATTAACAATCTTGATTCCAACAAACCTACAACTAAGGCTTCAGTAATGCAGCATTAGTACATATCTATAATACATTAGGAACTCTAACAACTTAAACCTAAAACGTCAACTAAAGATTAACAATATTATATCTTAACTAAACAGCCCTAGCATCTAAGATTTCTGTACATGCCTAGAATAAAATGGAATCACATAAATAAACCTTAAAAACTATATTCCATTGTTTTTATCCCAATATAATTAGCCGGATTGGATAAAATTAACTAGTGGGGAGGGGGAGGGGACCCTGGAACTTGAATTGTGATTGCCCCAAATGGAAAGGGATTTGGATGCCAGAACAGTTGAAATCATGGTATATCGATGTATGTCAAACCTTTTGTTGAATATCCAATACAAATCCATTTTCATTGGAGAGATAGTATTGATCTTATAATAACTCTAACACATGAATATTTATTGATGGTCGTCGTCTAACTTTAGATAATGATCACAAATTTGGTGGAGATTTTTTTTTTTTTTTTATAATCTAAACCACGTGAAGGAGCACTATCCCCATTGCTCCAATTTGAAAACAAAAGTCTATGGAAAGCGATTTGCCTCTTTTTGGTGGCGAAAGGCCAATTTAGTAAGGACGCAAGTGGCCAACTTGTCACAATTAAAGAAAGGAAGATTTTGCGTTGCAGTAGTGTACTTATTACTGGAGAGAAAGAGAGAGGAAATGATAGGCATAGTAGAAGCTACGAAGAGCAGCTTTAGGGAGGGCTGGAAAGCAAGCAAATTATGGAAAATAAATGTTTTGGTGGATTGTCAAAGAATCTTTGCCTGCTTTTGAAGCATTTTCTTTGGCTCATAATCGGCTCTTTCGCGAAAAAAGCGATGGCCACAACTTCAAAGTTAAAAGTCCAATAAGAAAACGATGGCGTCAGCACATTTAACTTATATCTTACAGGTCACCCCCACAAAATATTTTTTTTGTAAAAAAAAATTTTAAGATAAATAAATTGATCAATTTTTTAAGTTAAAATAAAATATATTATATTTAATAATTAAGATAAATAATTATAAATAATATATTTGAGATAATTTTTATAAATAAAATTTAAATTTAAAATTTTTTTATAAAATTTTTTTTTAATTAATTAAATTATTTATTTACTGATAACTCACAAAATATTCTAACACACTATGCACCTCCATCTTCTTAATTATTTAAATAAATTTTTATGATCGTCACTCAAGCTATGATAGTCCAAATTGATTCGAATTTAAAAATTTTTTGAATGTTATGCTTTTCTTAGCCTTTATGTTTTTCTTAATTTATTTTATTTATGAAATTCATTCGTTTCACTGGACTATTTGCTTTGATAACATTAAACATATATATAATATATTCCTTACTCAAAAAATGGAACTTAGTTTTTAACAAAAAAAAAAAATCATTCTAACCTAAATGCCAAAAATAAAAGATAGGTAGAGGTTGTTAACTTTTATCATCAAATCAAATGACATGCTTATGAAATCATTGTTGACATTTACTGGCTTTCAGATTTAACATAACTTTGTATTTATCAGTTTTTTCTTGTTTTCTAATTTTTTTATTAAAATTTTAATCAACCCTTAATTTCTCAATATCTATCTATTTAATTCATTTGAAAAAGATATTACACTCTTAAATCCACTCAAAACTATAATTTCAAAAAAAAAAATGTATATTAATAATTAATAATTCATTTTTAATATTAACAAAAGAGTGAGTAAAATTCATATTTGATTATTGTATGTCATATTTTCCAAGTACAAAGTACACATGTAAACTAATGAAAAGGGAAAATAAATCTTTTAAACTATTAAGATGACAGCCTTTTTTTTGGTGAGTGGAAGTACAACTCAAATTTTTTTGTTTCTTTGTTTTTTTTTTTTAAAGTGACCCGATAGTTCCACTGGAAGCTTAATTAAATTTGTAGATAATGGATCCATTTACAGTACGTGTTTCAAATAACCAATAATTTTTTTCAGCTTGTATTAAAGAGAAGTAATCATATCATATCCTATAGCGGATGATAAAAGTTTTTCTTTTTTTTTTTTTTTTTTTGTAAAACTGCTACAATTTTTAAAATCAAATTATCATTTTATTGTACATATATAGTACTGTGATAGTTACAGTCAAGAAATCAACGATCAATGTAATCTGTTAATAAAATTTTTAATTTTAATAATCAAAATTAAAATCCCCAAAGTGGGTTTTTACCGTTATTTGGGCCTTCATCAGTTCGAGTTTAAGATTTTGGCAATCTATGTCCCTGCCATAGTTTTGAAGCTATGGGATTATGGAAAAACCGAACCAATCCCATTTTGTTTACGGGGAAACTGTTAAACAAACCTAGTAGAGAAACACTCCTCCATTAATGAAAGTCCAAGGCGAGTTGGGCAAACTGAAACCAATCCTGCTCCTCTGCAGTCTGTCCTGACTTAAATGGAACTCAAACGTAAGACTTCTGCTTTTGATGAAACTTGAACCACTTTCACTTTAGGGTATGTAAAAGGCTTTCACCAAAGCGTTAAGCATTTCAGTGTCTGCAGGCAATAATACCTTTTTCAGCAGATTTGCTACAATCCAAGCATAGCCATAAGGTGGGAATTCTTCGATACCATCATCGGTCCAATCATGTTAACTAGACTCGATTTGAAACAAATTTATCTGAGATATATTAGGTCTTCAATGCAAAACTAACCATTTCAACCAGTTTCTTCTAGGCAACACCAATATGATGAAAAATGCAACATTTTGAGTAAAATTTGACAGTCTTGACTCTAAAACCATGACCCTTTATTTTGAATAACATGGAAAAATAAATAATGAAGAATGCTTGAATAGTTTTTTTCCACATGCCACTCAATTGAACAAGAATTTAACTAAAGCTAGTTAGGATTTAATCCACAGCAGTACAACTACATAAGAATTTGATTGCCATTGTCTACCTATAAACGTTTTATGCCTGTGATCCTGCTTCCTCACAAGTTACAGCTCCTGTCCAGATATCCAACTGAGTTATCTGATCTCCACTATTTCCCAAGTAAAACTTGTCCAAGAAAACGAAAAGCATTGCAGCTGTTACCAAGTCTAAATGCAAACTTGTGAAATGGGTATGGACATGACAAAAGACCAAAAAGAAAAAATAAAAAACTTTGGGAAGACCCTTACACGAGCAGTATACATTATATTTTCACAATTGAACTTCCACGAGAAGGAGATGATCCTGCATGATGAAGGTCCCAATTCCTCAACAAGAATGAAACTGATGAGAAATAAAATGTACTAAATTGGATTATTGATCCCTCCATCTTGGACTCGGGAAGGGAAACAAACCAGAAGGTGATAATGGAAACACGAGACCAGGGGAAGGTGGAGGTTGAGGCCCTGGACCTAAAATCCCTGACTGACCCATGGGTGAGAAAGCAAAATTGGGAGTTATTGGAGGAAATTGAATCCCGGGAGAAAGCAAAGGGTAAGGCGAGTGGGGGGACAACAAATTCATATAACCAGTAGGTGATGGCAAAAGGAACTGAGAAGTAGGTGAGGGTAAAAGGGCAGCCCCATTCATCCATGGTGATGGAAGATTGGGCATTGGTTGAACAGGACCATTCATTCGTGGAGAATGGAGATTAGGCATCAGTGGTGCAGGACCGTTTACTGCTCTTGGGGACGGGAGAGCTGAAGTTGGTGGATTAGGAAGTAAACCAGAATATGGTGGTGGGGCGTGAGGTCGACCTGGAACTGGGGGGTGTAGGTGAGGTTGAACTTGGTTTCCAACTGGACTAGGATCTATAAGGGAAGCCTGAAGGTATCGCATATAAGCTGAGATAGAAGATTCAGCTGTGTTTGCCAAAACAGCATCTCCAGGTATCATAGGCGGCAACATTTTAGGTGATGGTTGTCCATATTGACCAGGTCTAACTAAGCTATTGTTATAAGGAGCAGGATGAGGAACCGGAGCTGGTGCATAAGCAGGGGCAGGGACTGGAGCTGGAGGAAGAATATGGGGCCGATTGATTGGTGTCAATGGTGGAGGCCTAATTTTCTGCAACCTCATACTTTGGGGTTTGGGAGGATTCTGTGGGGGTCTAGGCAAAGGGTCATTGCGTGAGGGGGAACCAGTGAGCTGCTGAACAATGTTCCTGAAATCATTCTTGCTTATATTGTAAACCTGAGGCTGAGGCTGCTGCCTAGCTGCATTATTAGCAAAATTAGGTTGATGCAACGGGCTCTTCTTTATATTCTTGCTGATCTTGTTAACCCCTAGATGATCATTAAGCCGATTCTTTGAATTATCCATTTCAAAAAACTAAACTGCAAAGTGCACTGCAACAAACTTAACCAAATTTTCCAAACAACCACAATGTCAAACCATTCAAAAGCTTCAACAGAATATCCCAGAACTTCAAAATCCAAGCTCAAGCACCAGCTAGCAACCTTTCAAAACAGCAACCTAAACTTCACATACGCCGCAAAAAACTGACCATGAACCAGTGTCGACTTTCTCTAGATACCCAAAAGAGTGCAGCAATTAAAAAACTTCAAACTTTGTGATTTCGAGTTGGAACAATCACGACTCTTCACAGTATTATCAGCACAGAACAAATCAATATCCACCAAACCAAACCCTAAACCTGAAATTCAACAAGAAAAAGAGCAACCTTTTCTTCAAACCCAAAAATCTAAATTCTTCAAATTTGTCTATCAAAGTTGCCTCAAAAACCTAAACTTAGCTTCCTGCATCATACAGGTAAAAAACCCTCAAATCAACCCACCAAAGTTTCCACTCAAAAAGCAAATCCCAAAGTACAATAAAGATCAAATATTTCTAAAATAATTAGCTCCAAAAATCAAAACCCAGATCATAAAATTCCATAAATTCAACAACAAAACAAAGTGCAAGTAAAAACCAAAGAGATAATGATGAAAATAAAGAAATACCAGGATTGTAATCTTAAAGTCCCCCTGAAGATCTTCTCCCTCCTCCTAGAATGAGAAAAATGAAACCAAAGGAACTGAAAGAAAAGGAAAGTAAAAACAAACCTACGATTAGCGAGGGCAGTGTTAGAGACTAACGTGGGCAGTAGGTCAATGTGGAAATGAATAGATTCGATCTTCATTTTTTGACAATTTTTTTCCGTTGTCTTTTTCTTTTTTCCTTCGTTATATGGGTCCATGAATTTATGACGACGAAATGACGTGTAAAATAAATCAAGTAGAGGAACAGTCAAAGTTCAAAGTAAACGGAATTCGCGGCGATATTTCTACTATCTTTACATATTCGTTACGGTTTGCAGTGGTGTGGGTCCACCCATCCACTTCATAAATTTCTTTGCCACCTCATTATTTTGACTTTTCTCCCTCCTTATTCTCCTCAATATTTTAACATTACATATATATATATATATATATGGTTGCTTCAATAAATAATAACCTAATGTCCATAATTACAGTATTAATGATATAATAATTAATAGGAGTAACTTTTAATTTTTAATTTCTTTATTTCGAAACATTGCAAAGGGGATGGATAGATTATAAGTTAAGCAAATGATAATATCAAATCATATAATTTAAAATGATTTAAAAATAATCACGTATCGTTGAGACTAAACATTTTAAAATATTAATGAACATTTAAAATTTTGAAATTAAAATATAAAAAAATAAAATATTCAATTATTGTGAATATGAATGATTTATATTCTATTATAATTGTAAATAATATTTAAGAGATTGTTAATTAAATGAATGTATTATTAATATAATAAAATTATATTTGATTTGTTTATATTTAAGATATAAATGAATACAAAATATAATAAATGATTCATAAATAAATTTATTTTTATTTATTAAATTTAATAAATAATTACAAATAACTTTTAAATTTTATTAATTAAACAAATAAATCACAAAAGTAAAAATTTTAATTCATTTAAACCCTTATTTGAAATATAAATAAAATTATGCCAGTTGGTCGCGCTTAAGGCATCCTAATTGGTCTCCAACACTAACAAGCTACAGTTGTAAAAAAGCTCACCATTACATGTGTAAATTACCAATCAATATTGGTATTTGCTAACACTAAGCAATTGAAAAAAGAATAAAGCCTTTCAATTCATACTAATACTAATATATTTTATGTTAATTTCCTTCTTTTTTTTTAGCTTTAGATTTCCATATAGTTTTATGAATATTTTATAGCTTCAAGTTTCTTCTTAGCTACTTAAAAACAATTAAAGCTTGACTTAACTATAATTATTTATTTTTAATAAATAATATTAGTAAAATATTAAAATTTTAATTTCAGTTATCAAAATTCGATCTTTAATAATTTTAAATATAAAAAAAAATAAGTTTTCATATTTGAATTTCTTTTTTTCTTTTATCCATTAAATAATTTCTTTTTGTGTAATATATATATTTACAAAAGAAAAAATGGTTATTATAAGTAAGGATTCAATTAAAAACGAAATGTTTGTTTTCTTCTCTTAGTGGTATTGAAAGTCGTTTTGCTCCAATTTTTCAACGAGGAAAATTAAGCTTAGAGAGACGTGATCTCATCAGTGTTTCCTGATCATATAACATATGTTTGAAAATTTAAAATTTTTTATTTTAATATTTATAAATTTATTCATATTTTTAAATTTTGATTTTTTATAAAAATACAACTTTAGATATATTTTTGTCGAAAAACTAACTAATCGATCAAAAGTTTTGGCCACGTCCAAGCCACAGTATTTGATCATTTGAAAAGTTGCTATCATCACCTTTTAAATATATGATAAGTAGAACTAATTAATCAAATAAAAAAAAACTTTTATAAGTTATAGTAAAAAAAATATAGCACTATGTCACAATATTCATCATTAGTATTAAATTATCGACTAATTAAAATGTAAAAAAAATAGAATTTATTGAGTTATGAAATTTGTAAAGGTGACACGTCATATACTTCTTTGACGGGGCATTGCAAATTCTATAATTTTGTTAACAATATTTTTACTTCATGCAAGTAAAATTCAACAAAAAAATGTCAAGCATATTCTTGGCTAGGAATGCCAGTCAAACTGATCTTATAAAGTTGAATTTTTTTTTTTTTAAAGTCGAGTTTCGAACTAAATTGAGTAAATAATAATAAAAAAATTTAAAATTAAATTTTAGATAAATTCATATTAATTTGATATATATAAATTATTTATTTAATTTTATATTTATATATTATATATTTTTATATGTATTTAATTTTATATTTATATTAAAAATAATATTTTATTAATTATAAGTCGAATCAAATATAATTTTATATTATATCAAATCAAATTTAATTCAAATACAAAAAATAAAAAAATTATTAAATCAAATCAAATTTAAATATTATACACGTAAAATCCAATCAAATTTGCAATGAAAAAAGCCTGTCTGACCCGTTATCATCCCTATTCTCGATATTGCTTGGCCCAACGAAAATGTTAAGTAAGAGGCTGGGAAAGAATTACTGGGGTCAGAGAGGCTCAAACTCTCGACCTCCGAATAACTCAGCGAAGCTAAGAGAATGAGGCCCATGCACTAGCCAATTGCGCCATCACCCCTTGATTTTCGGCCAAGGCATGACCTACAACATTTTTAGTCAGTGTTAGAGGGCAGCGATGTAAGCACAGGCGAAAAGCCATTTGGTTGATTTGGTTGTCAAGGTTTTGACTGTGATTCTCGTTAACATCGGCATCCTAAAATTGCTCCAAGAAAACACCTCTCTCTGTCTCTTTCTTTGTTTTTCTTCTTCGGACAACCTTCCGCTTTCTTAGTTCTTCTCTTCCTCATCTTGTTCCAATACTCTCAAATCAATTTCACAATAAAATCTGCATTCTAAAAGGTACATATCTAATGCTTTCCTTTTTTTTTTTGGCAATCTTTTAATTCTGCATGTTGTAACAATAATGCTTGTTTCCTTTTCTCCTGTTGAAAATTGAAATGTTTGGCTTTAAGGGTTTTGCTTGTAAGACCCAGAAATTAGTACTTTTTAGATTCTGGGACACTTTGAACAACATTGAAGATGTTTGTTGATGTGAAATTTATAAAGGGTTTGGCCTTTATGCTTGTTTTGATTGGTGGGGTTATTGTTTTTTATGCCTATAGATTGTTTGATGTGATTTTACTTTAATTTTTTTCTTGTTCAAAACAACATTGATTCGTCGATTAATGCTTTTGATAAAGTTTAAATTGTTGTCATTAATGTGTTACATGATATATTATATATTATCCATTAACAAGTGTAATTGAAACAAGACTCAAGCTTGGATCTTTCAAGTAGAAAAAGAAAAAAAGAGTCAAGCTTGGTAGTCCTAGGAGGCAGATGGGGCTGAAAAGAATCTAATTAATGTATTATAGATTTCATGGATTGTATGGGATTGATGTTGTTGTTTATTATTCAGAGAGTTGCCAGAACAAATTTGGATAGTTTCTGCATTTCATTGATGGCAACGTCTAATTCAATGATTATGTAAAACTTAGAAATGAGTTACCATACTAGGAGTATGTTATGATCCCTTTGATTCGGCGACTTATAGCTACATGTTCTGTTTTATTGCTCCTAAGGGAAGTTTACATTTTCCCAATTAATAAAAGAATAGTTCAGGGTTTGTTACCTCAGGTGATCATGCAAAAAGTTATATGAATCATGTTAACAGTTACAATATCCTAAAAGGTATTGTTTTTTAAATGTAAAAACGAAGATGAGACAAATTGGGTTCTAAATGTTGGTAGCTGAAACAAATTATTTCATTTCCAGGAGGTATTCAAGTTTTCTACAAAGAAGTAAAAGCATTAGATAAAAGTTGAGTAAATTTTTATGAGAATCAAGTCTGATAGGGAAACAGTTGCAGTTAATTATTGTATAATGTATATACACTGGAAGTGATGATAGAGTTCCTCATTAATGCTGGGAGGTTTAGAAATAGCATTCATTTTCCAACTTCATGGAAATAGTTGGTAGATATTTATATGGTTACAGCTATCTGTTCACTTTATATAAATATAAAATTTGCGAATTCAGTGGCACATTGGGCTGGACAGATACTAAGGAGAAGGCAGATATATTAATATGTTCCAGAGACAGTGTTCTCGTGGATAAATGTCTCAGTCATAAGTGTTGAGACTCAGGAGTTTCTATACATGGAACACAATGGTCTCTTTTCCTTCCTTTGTTCTGTCATTCAAACTTTGGATTGAAGTTGATCAGGAGAAGGCAAAGTCCAATATGTCTCACTATCTGGGATCTCTGTTTCTGGCTCTGTACAAGCTAATCATGGACTGACCATGCTATAGAAGTTGAACTTACTAGATTATTTAGCAATTTCTTGTATCCTTAATCTTCCTATGTTATGTATGTAGTTCTAACATATGTAACATCCAAAACAATCTCATTTACGTTTAGCATAATCCCTCAAATGATGTGCTTTGTTTTGTATACAGATTCCAGTATGATGGCTAATGGTAATTGGCACCTGACTTGATGTTGCATGGAGCAGAAAATCCTCGATGGTAAGAAGTGCAACATGCTTCTGTCATACAGAAGTTGCATACAGATGGTTTAGTTTCCTTCGTCAACCAGTTTTACTCATGCTGACGCAACTAGTTGTTTGAAATGGAAGACGGGCTAAATATGAATCCAGGCGGAAAACAAAGTGGTTTAGTAACTAACACAAATGCTAAAAGTAATAATGACATGATGACTCGCCGTCTAAAGAACAGAGAACGGCAGCGTAGATATAGGGCCAGAAAGCGACTTGAAGCAGATTTGCAGAAGTCTCATGTCCTAAGCCAACCAACTATACCAAAAGTGGAGTTGCAATTAAATGGGATCCTTAACAATGGGACAATGCGTGTTTATTGTAAACGGGATTGGAAAAAAGATGCTAGAAGTGCTCACATTCGCAAGGGTCAAGAAGACACACTCAATGCTTCTGTTCAGTCTACTCTTATCAAAACTGCCGAAAGCCAAACACCATGCTTGCCCTCTGGGATAAGGGCAGAAGGATTCCTAGAAAGAGAATGCCATTCTGAGAATTCCCAGAACCTGGGGAACTGTGAAACTAGGAAACTTAAGCTTGGTCGGAGAGACTGGAAAGCAGATGCAAGAAATAAGAAGAGTTAAGTCAGTTGCAAACAAGTTGTTTTGTGAAATGAATGTATAATAGGTACAAAATTAATGCTGGATAGCAAATGTCCGTGTGATTGTTGAAGATCCTGAAATTGTAATGACTAGAAGAATTTATGATGTGTTAAGTCGTTTGTTGCGGCATCTAGGAAGAGCTTTTGTTGCCAGGTTTTGTGAACTTTACAACTTTTTCAATTTCAGATGCAGAACAGAGTATATATGTGACATTAACATTTAGATCGTTGCTTTCTCGTCCTGTGTGATTGATCATTGCGGGGCTGATTAAGTGTAAGACTTTGCCTTACTTGAAAGATATTAAACAAGGATATGCCTAGAGTTTCCTTACCTGCACCTTGGACATGCAATTGAAGTCCTTGTTGGAAATTCCATTTTAATACATCTGTTCAGCCTTAGATCAAGGAAATTCCAATGAATTCGTTCAACTAAAAAAGGAATGCATTATAAGTCAAAAAAACGAAAGGACTTCGTGATTCGTAAATCATAATGTTATCACAAATTAAGGACATTTTTACATATGCACTTCAACAGAAACAATTGACATATTTTTCAGGGGCTAGTGATTAGCTGTTAAATCTGTTGTAGAAGTAGCATATTTCCAAACCTAGATTGAGGAAAACTTGGTGATAATCATGAAGAGGAAGCGGGTCATTCATACTAATGAGTCGACAAACATTGAATGCCAAAGTTGTCTGACTTAATTTGCTTGCCTTGAGAGGACCATTAGTGATTAGACAACTTGGGTTTGTTGGTCATGAAGGTAGAGTCAAGTGGTTTACCTGTCTTTGCGGGAACATCTATCCCACAAAATGATTCTAAATTAATACCCAAACCTGCTTAATAAACAACCTTGAAAATTATCTGTAAATTTCTCTGTTATCTCTTTTTTTTTTCGTCATCTCCTCTAAGACATTAAAACCTCAATGTAGAACACCTCTTTTCAATCTCCATTCCTTTTGGATCTCCTTCTCTTGATCAAAGAAACTTTTCATTCGTAGGGGGACAAAATAAAAGCCATGAGTCTTAACTGCTTGACTCGCCAGGTCCTGCAAAGAACAGATTCAAACAATCATAGGGATCATTGTGTTAAAGAAAAAGATAGCAGGAAATTTTGTGGTATAGGGATTGATAGAAGTTGGTCAGGGAATATATACGAGCAAATCAGAAGTGATCATGATCCAATGTCAGTGGTTCCTTCAAAGAAGATAAAGAAGGGTCATCATCGCCGGCTAAACACAATTGATACAACATATGGAGCTGTGGCGTTTGAAGCTGACGGTGAACCTAGGCTGGTCAGGAGCTGTGGAATGAGGAGGGATTGGAGCTTTGAGAATTTGAGAGAAGAGAGGGATGAAAAGATGAGGAAAGAGATGAGAATACGTTGAGACTCTGCATGGCTCTACAAATTTTAATTCCTTTCTTTTGGTTTTTCTTGATTAACACATCATTTCATTCTTTGTTGATTGTTAATTAATTAGTTCGTTATCCTTCTTTTGTTTCTTTTGATTTCTTCATGTTGTTTATGGCATCTCAAATTAATTTCAATAAACAAAGAATCAACTATATATCCCCTCAATTAACAAACAACCAAGACTGATAAATTATTGTTTTTATTTTACTAATTTTCTTAAGTTGTTTTCCCTTTTTCTTTTGTTTTAATTTCTTTATGTACATTTTGCTTATGGGATCCCAAATTAATTGGTTGAAGTTTGTTATTAAATTAGATGTGCATCACATATTCATTTAGTTAATTATTTATGCTTTAAAAATTCAAATTTGAAGATAAAAAAAATTTCATGAATGTTAAATTGAGATAACTTAAAACATAAATATAATAAAAATAATTTCGGATCTTGTAAACAGAAAAAATAAACTTAAAAAAGTTTATCCCCTTTATAAAATCCGACCCAACTTGATTCCGAATAAATCGGGTTCAAAGTAGCTACCGAATATCAAAAGGTCTTAAATCAAAAAAATAAGAATCATTTCATCTATTGTCATCTAAATTTTAGCACTTTCTTCATTACTTGTTAATGAATCAAAAGATATTATATATATATATATATAGTCGTTGAAAGCACCTAACTAGAATCCTAATCCCATTTTCGGATCATATCTAACGTTGGAATCTCATTATTTGATGCCAAACCCGACAATGGAGCTTGTCTCATATTAAAACATGTGGCTTTCCAGACATCATTCTGTTCAAATTCATTTCTCTTAAAGACATTCCATAAGGTTTTCTGTGTTTTAAGGACCAGCAGAGGGTTTCTAGTCCTATGATTCTTCAAATCTGGAAAGTGATAACAATTTCCTTGGTAGTTATCTTGCTTTATTTTTTTTTTCCAATATAGAATTTCAGCCTCTACTTTATGACTCCATTCATTTTACAGCTGTCCTGGAATTGGGTATTCGTATAGAAATTCCTCGACTTATAGACCATTACCTGGCACTGACACTGATACATTGGATTTGTAATCAACCTTGGGTAAATTCTAAATTTTTTATATTTTAAGTTTATTCCTAGTGTTTAGTTGGTGCAAAGCTTGAAATATGCACATTACCCTGTGTTTTTCCTTGATCTATTCTTCTTTTACAGCATGAGACCAGGGGTTTCCTGACAACAAAAAAAAAAAAGGACTTACTACCAAACCTGTTGCAGTTTCATGACAAAGTTACTTCACACAAACGTTGACCACTAAATTCTGCAATTCTGATGTTGAATTGAGGGAAATGATGATGAAAAAAAATGAAATCATTTACCAGAAAATACATGACAGAAGAAATAATATTTTTTTGATTGACTACAGGCTGCCTTCCAACTTAATGATTCAATTAATACTCACCACTTTAATCGGTATTATGGTTCAAGAAACATTGAATATATACAAATCAGAATTTGATGCCAAACGCCATCATATAGCTTAGTTAAACGCCAGATTCCATTTTGGTGGGGGAATTTGCACCAAATACTGTTTCAGAAAACTATGTCCTTAAATAGTTGTAATCTATATCACTTTATCAACAGTTATATATAGTTTATTAATAAAATTCTTTCGGTGAGATACACAATAGTATCATATTCGACAATTCCGTTTCAAAATTCTATTGGAAATCAGAAACTTTGGTATCCCATTTTCTTATGTTTGCGTAGTCAGTCTGCATTCCAACCATGTGTTAAACATGCCTAGCTTGTTTACCATATTTTACTGTAACAATAACCTCAACGTTTTAGGTAGGAAAAACATGAAAACCACCGACAATGAGGAAGCCTGTACAAATTAATACAACGAGCAAACAGAAATAATATCAACAAGGTGAAAAAGGACACACCCATGTTGAAGAAGCCTAAAAGGTTCAAATAATGATATTTTCTTATCTTGTTTAATTTAGAATTAATAACATAAGACTATTGCAGTCTAAAAGTAGTGCTACCGAGTGCTTAAAAAATTGTTGCCATAGGATAAAATAAAATGAAATATAACTTTTTCATAAAAGTTTGTTCCAATTTAATTGGCTGTCAGTTTCCTTTAGCTAAAGATAAAGAGAAAGCCAAGCCTTACTTGACGCCTCAGCAGTTAGCACGATGGAACTACAGGTTCCGAAATTTGAGGTCTTGGTTGATGTTCCAAATTTCTTGTTCAAGCTATACTCTCCACAAATTTTCTGGTTTCTCTTTATACTTATATTCCCACTTCCCACCTATCATACAGGCAAGTAGTCTTTATTGCCCGGAGAGAGAAAGAGCTTCCGCATTTTTGTTGAAAGAGTAAATGCAAAAGTAAATGCATTTTTCTGATTTGAATGAACATTTGCACTTACTCCAAAAAAGACACTGATTATTGATTAGCTTTTGAACTTCCAAAGCTCCCCAAAGAAAGTTTTTTGGTGTTTGCTAAAGTTTTGCTACCTCTCTTTTTAGCCCACAAAGAAAGAAAAACAAAGGATCCATAATCTTTCTGCATCAGAGGTAAGGGTGGTGGAGATTGGAGAAGGCAGACATTTTCACATGCAGTCCCCAAAGGCAAGAGCTCTTTGCCTGTCACAGATGTCGGTGCATTTTTGGCATGAAAATTTATTATATGATCGAAAAGATATCAAAAACAGGGAAAGAAATTACCCCCAGTCCTGGAATGAAAACTAAAATCAAAGTAAAAAACAAACGTATAAGGTTCAACATCCCAAAAGCGTATTTTCACCAAAATGGTATCAAGTACGTCAACGTTCAAGGAAAATGCAAGAAATATCGTTACCAAGAACAGCAAAAGCATGTGAAGGAACGAAGGATACAATGAATGGAGTAAAGCTCAAACAAGAGTTCAAAATGTTCCCTTGTTCACACAACCTCAAAAACTAATGTTGACGTCCGAAACGCCTCAATGAAAAGTTGTAGCATGCATGCTCCATGTCCCATTAAAACTTGCTCAATACTAAAAGAAACGAAAGTACTAGTTAACAAAGTTTAGGCACAGTTAACAAAAGGAACACTCGAGGTAACATAGTAACAAACCCAGAACTTCATTCAGGTTCGAATTTATAGCAAGCAATATACATTGATTGAAGACGTTCTACAAGATTTAACACAAAAAGGCTATTTTCAGTTGACTGGAGCTCAACAATGTCAATCACTCTTTAAAATTATGGGAAATCAATCAACCTGCTAACCAGTTAAGCTCCTCCTTGATTAAGATCACCTCTCAAACTATTAACTATACTAAACACTAATAACAACAAAATAGAACAATATTTTACAGAGCTTGTGCCAACGGGATCCTTAAAATGTCCCAGAGACCTGCAGCCATTTTAACAATGAAACTGCGGTCCTATTTTTCTCTGATCAAGCTCTATCCCAATTGCTTTTACAGATCAAGCTCTGCTCGATACTCTCTATCTTGCATCTCCAACTTTGGATGTTAGGGCTATCCTGAGCTGCTCCTGTGTGTAAAACCGGCTCCCCATCTTAACGGTGGCTTGCTGGATCATCAAGTCATTCACTACCGACACACTAGCATGGTGCACATCTAGGTCTAACTCCTTCAAGGCAGCCATTAACCTTGCTGCTGGATGGTTCTTTTTAGGGCATTGGATTCGAATCATTGCATCCCATCCAATAATCTTCACATCAATATCTAATTCTATCAATTTATTACCAAGGTGGTTGGACATTTTGAGGTCTTGATCAGGTGGTGGTGGCGCAGAACCAGAATCTTTACTTGCCAATTCTTTCTTCATCGCCTCTAATTGTTTCTGCAATTCCTCTTTCTCCGAATCTGCATTCTGTAGCTTTGTCTTAAGCTCGTTAATATAGGAAATAGCATCACCTAGGAGTGATGCTTTATCCATCTTCGATACATTAGGAACCACGGCACGGAGGGCGTAAAACCTCTGGTTAAGCTTCTCTCTTCTTTGACGCTCTGCTTCAACATGATTCAGAGGCTCCTCTCTTCCATTAGCCGGTTTTCTCCCTCGTTTCCGAGGCCTCTTTTCAGGCTCCACCACTCTGCTACTATCAGCTTCCTTCACGACAGAAGCCTCAAGATCAGAGTGATCTGAATCCCCAGCACCGCCACTTGATTTCACCACACCAGAAGAAGGCAAAATTACACCAGAAGTAAACGAAAGCATCCCTTCTTCATTACTCCCTCTTGAAGTAGGCGACCTCTTCTTCTTATTCTCCTCTACCACAAAGTGAGAGTTCCCTGTAAACAAATTCCCATCCCCACTTTTCTTGCTCTCACCAAAACTCAATATTTCCCCGGATTCAGGCTTCAACAAATGAGAAGAAGAATTCCCATTCCTCACACTGCTACTCCCATCAAAGCCATAATCGGAGAAATTCAGGCAGAATCTCTGCCCCTGCTGATGGTTCTGCTGCTGGTCATGATTTCCAACATGAATAGAACTCGGATTCTCAGTTAAACTACTCGAACTCGGGTTATCACAGAATTGAATTGACTTCTGAATCTGCTGATTCTGATTGCTAGTATTATTGTTGTTACTTTCCTTAAGTTCGACTCCGTTATTTGGATCGCTAATCCAAAGCGAAGACGGATCATTTTCGCCTTGATCAGCAGTATTATTACTCATAGACCAAGAACCAGCTTCAATTCCATTATTGAAATTAAACAAAACCCGAACCTTATTCATCAGATCTGAGCTTTGGGTGATAAGTTCCGTTGATCCCAATTCAACTACCCCGTTTGCCGACGGTATACAAACCATCGTCTGCAAACCGAAAACCTTTCCTTGCCTCGCTCTCTCGCATATCGAACTGGCTAACCGGTCCGACCCAGCAATCCAAACCGGACTCGAATTGAAAAAAGCCTGCCCCGGAAGCCCGCTGCCGTTCACAAAAGACTGCATCATAGAAACTAAAAAGAACCACTCAGTGTCGGTGACTTCTTCATCGACGGCATCGTCGGTGGTGGCAGTCGACCCAGAAATCATAGAGTTAAGTTCTCTAAGCACTTTTTTACGGTACTCTTGTTCCACAACTGTAGATGTAGAAGCTTTCAACTTTCCTTTCCCTTTATCTTCTTCGCCTTTGTAATACCCATCGCCCCAACCGAGTATGGTAGTGCCCGAGTAATCAAACGAGGTCGAGGACTGCCAAAAAATAGCGTAAGTCCAATACTCGCGGGCGTCTTCGATGAGGGCGTGGAGACGCTGTTGAAGAGTTTCTTGATTGAGGAGAGAAACGGAAGGCTGATATTGGGCGGCGAAGGAGGACTTGGAAACGTCTGGTCCACCAACAGCAGCAGCAGCAGCAGCAGCAGGTGTGGAAGTAGATGCAGAGGATTGCGGCGGTGGCCATAAAGCAGAAAGATCGGTGCTCATAAAAGCTTCCATAACCGATGCGTTATCGTCCGTCCAAAGATTCATCGTCGGCGCTAACCTATAGTCCGTCATTCCATAAGATTTCGCCAGATTTCCAATTTCTTTTTTTCAAGGAATTTGTTTTGTGGTTTGGAAGAAGAAAGGGAAGAAACTATTGAAATTGGGAATTGGGGATTAGATCATTTGGGATGCATCTGGGTTTGGCTTGGGATTTATTTGGACTGAACTTAAGCTGATTATATTTTTTTAAGGGTGAAAAAAAAAAAAAAGCAGTTTCTAGGAAGGGGCGGAGAGAACCGATTAAATCGGTAAAAATCCGGCGTATGGAGCAGCTTATAGGGCCTAAGTTAGAGCACGTGGCACTGTTTAGTTCGTTCATCGTTAGGATTGGAACAGGCTTGACTGACATTTAAGAAACGGCAATTTTTTTGAGCTAGTGGAACGGGGTACTGTACAAATTCATAATTTTTTATTTTTATAGCAAATTATACACGTATACATAATTGTTTTATATTTTAGAAAATAATGATTTATAAAAACATTATTTAAAAAGAATATGCCTGAGCCAGCCAAGATTTTTTTTTTTCTCGGATTTGTAGGCTATGAGAATGGAACTAAACAGTATATTCTCGATTTTTAATGTTTTTCTGATCATTTACAATTACAGCAAGTAGATATTTTATTACTGAGAATAATTTTGGGAAGAAATTGTCAACAAATTCCCATCTTTTTCTGGATCAAATATTTTCACATATTATCCTATTTAAACGACAAAAAAAAAAAGAAAATAAATGCTGTTTAATTTTTTATTTTTTCTTTATTCCAATATGAAGACAGTTAAAATAAAAAAATTAAAAAAAAAAAAAACTTCCTGGTAAGTGGTAACGAACTAAACTAAGGAATCGGATTAATTGACTCGTTACCTGGTTTGAGTGGCGGCTTCTAGTTTCTAACATATAGGATACAGCCATTCTTTTTTTTTTTTTTTAAATAATAGCCATAGGCTATTGTTGATAAACCCAAATTATTGTAACATATAATTCTTTCATAAAATTATTTTGTATACCTTCTTAAAACAATAATTTCTTTATAATTTTTTATGAATTACGTGAGCAATTAAAAATCATAATTAAATAAATCCTAACATGTTATTTTTAGAATAATAACAACAACAAATTATATGTTAATTAATAAATGGCCAAAAGAAAATTAGGTTAATTAGTAATGGACTTAAATCTTAATTAGTGTCAAAAAAATTAAATCTTAAGTTTTTTATTCTCAACACATAATCATTTTTTAATCTCATACTATAATTTTTAAAATGATAATATTATACTAATATATTTTCAAAATAATTTTATTTTTCGATTCAAAATATAAGGCTCTTACATATTTATAAAGTTAGTGCGGACTATCCTTTAGATCAATTGATTATCATTTGATTTGTCATTTGAATATTGTAGGTTTTATAAAACTTAGGCATATCATATCTTTTTCAATCAAATATATAATTGAATAACAAAATTTAAAAATAAATTAAAAATTTTAAAATAAAATAAAAATAATAATGTACCTTTTTAATTTAGTAATATATACTTATATAAAAAAAAAACATATTGATTAATTTCTATTAGAAAAATTATATATTTTCACAAAATGTTATATTAGTGGCAATAATTTATTCTAAAAAACTAAAACATTTATCTGTTACTCGAATTGAATATTTCTTTTCTTTGCTTTTTAGTAAGAAAAAATTATAAGACAAAAAAATAAAATCCATTTAATTCAAAAGATTCATTCATTTTTTTAAAATAAAATTTTATAAAATTAAAGTTCAATGTCTGAAACTCGTAATTTTTTTATCTTTTTATATAAAACATTATAAACTTAGAAAATATATTGTTTATTTTAAAAATTGGGGTGGGGTCCGTTCGATTAGCCAATTGCCTAACATATTTACTTTGGCTGATTAAATAATCATAAAAAGATTGCAAAGAAAGAGCCGCGATGTGGTTCAATCACGTTACGACGTTCCCTGAACATTCTAACGATGTGTGACGTAATTAAACCTCCTGCTACGCGATTTAATCATCTTTGGCTTCTTCTACGCAAGAGCCGCCGATGTAAATAGCAAAATATCGGCCGCACTGTCCCAATTAATCGCCACTCGTGACTCGCCCCACTCCAATACTTTCACTTCAGTAGTTCAGTTAAAGATTTTTTTCATCTTTCATTTGGATATTTTATACAAAACATTAAGTGAATTAAAATATAAATAAATTAATACTTGTTAGTTTATTAAAAAAAAAAAAAGTTTTAACTTTTATAAGTGTAATAAAAAGCTAGTGAAATATTAAATTTTATTTTATTTTTTTTCTTTCATTTTTCACGTCAATTAATTCTAAACAAATCTAGCTCAACAAATGATACAAAGATCGACCGAAGTTAAATTGGCTTTGATCAATTTCGATCCAGCAATGGAAAATATTTGGCCTCTCTCTTTCTTTCCTATCGACTAGACATCAACAACCAACCCATTGTTGTGGCGTTGATTGATCATATATTTTTTTAAACAGTGTTTATTTAAAAAAAATTAAATGTTTTCGAAATTTTATTTTTTATAATTTAATTATATCAAATGATTTTTATAAGAAAAATACTTCGTTAAACTTAAGATATATAAATTAACTTGTTACCTTGACGGGATTTACTTTAAAAGAAATAACTGATTATTTATTATTTTGCTATCTCTTGACCCAACTCCATGCGACAATTTATGATAATGACAACCTAAAAAACTATAAAAATAAATAAACGATAGCATCGGTAATAAAGAAATAAGGAAACGGACGCGTTATCAACGCAAGAATAAATCCTGGCCGTTGATTTAACCTCCTTTGTTCCTTAAAAATAAAATATTTTGTTGATTCCCCTTATCTCCATTTTTTTTTAATTATAAACAAAAGATTAAATATTGAAGCAGGTTTTGCTTGATGCTTTGTAGTCAAATTAGATTGGATTTTATCATAATTATTTTTTGTTGGGGGCACGTTTGGAAACCACTTTTCCATGTGAAAAATACTACCATCAATCTAATCATTTTTTATTGAAACTTCGCTTTTTTTTTTGTTTGCAATTTTAACTTTGTCTTTTTGATTAATTAAAAAGTTTAGCTCACACTTTATAGTATTGTTTTCTAAGCATAAACATTCAACTATTCTTAGCAATTACATCCCAAACCCTCAAAATACTTCATCTAGTTTACAATTTACTCCTTCATGTCCCAATATACATTAGTTGCCAGAATCTAAATCTCATCATAATAAATAAAAGTGACAATATATTGTATTAGGATCTTTTGCTAATCAATTATTTATTTTCTTCTCGTAAATAATATTTGATTTGATTTTTTTTGTAATTAATTTTTTTATTTTGATCATTGAATTATTTTAAATGTTTTATTGAATTAAATTATATAAAAATATATTGGAAACCTTTTTCATTCAATGTATTTGAAAATTATTTTCTTTATATTTTAATTAGTAATGTATTTAGAATAAAATGAAATCAAAGTTGAAAAAGTTTGACCAATAGAAACCAAACTAAAATAATATTTATGGGACATAGGGAATAACATTTATGGTTAACAAGTTACCCTTAATTATGATTATTTTGAATCATTTATAAATCGAACAAAAAAAGTTCCATACTTTTGAATAAAACATACTACTATCATTTTTTTTATGTATATGAAAAAAATACCAATTCCAAATAAAACAAAATTAAGTTAGTCAAAATGTAAATTTAATCTTTTATAAAAGTTGGAAGAATGAAAATAATGTGAAAAACTTGTTTTATTTTTAACATCAATATTCAAGAAAAACTCCTCAAACTTGTTTTTTTTGTGTAATATAGTTAAGGATATCTCTCAAAATTTGTTTAAATCTAATGTCTTTATTAATCGATCTTAAAAATGTATTCAAGATTTTAATCTCTAAAAACGGTTTAATTTAGATAAATAAAAAAGTAGAATTCGTTCTTTTACCAATTGGACTAATCCTTCGAGGAGTTAAAATGTAATTTGTTGCTGCTCAGTATTTAGTATTAAGACTATGTGGGTAAATTTATAAAAATATAAAAATAATGGGAATAGACTGGAATAATATGTAAGCAAAGAGGCATTATTAGTTTATTACTATGTCAGTTTACGAGTTACTTGAGAATGAAAAGTCAAAGCCAATCATTCATGTATTGACAAGAGCATTGCAGCTTCCATTGGTTTAATAACCTTTTTCAAATGCCTGACAGTGACCCGTTGCCTCGGTGTCCATTTGAATTTTATTACATTTTTAGTACGATATAATTAAATTTATTATATCATTAATTAAATCTAAATATTAATTTTAATAAAATTTATTTAATATAAATTTTTATTAAAATTTTCAATTAAAATTATAATATTTTCTCTGTTATAATAATAATAATAATAATAATAATTTTTAATTAACCACTTATCCAAATAGAGTTTCATTAATTTATGCTACAGTTCCAAATAGTAATTATCTATGTTTGAATCGTCTAATTTAAATAATTTGTAGGTACAATTACATAGTAATCATTATTTATATTAAATTAAATATGTCGAAGAAATTGCCAAAACCAATTAGTTGGATTGAAAAATCAAACAATGTTTTTATATTAGAGAAAACATTTAAAGTATATATATATATATATATATATATGCCGGTCCCTAAAATTTAAATCTTTTTCAATTGCGTACCCCAATATTTTGTTTCATGCCCTTCCCATGGAATCTTGTGTTGTAGTTTTTGTTTATTAAATTCCAAATTAAGATGGAGCCTACAAGTTGGTGAAGACTTCATGCCATTTGGCCACTTGCACAACACAACCCCACACATTAGAAAAGAAAACAAAAGGAAAAGGAGATCTTTTTTTTTTTTTGCAAAGTAAGAAAAAAATTGAAATTTTAGTATATTCTCCTTCGTTCCATTTTATATGTTTTTTTATTAACTTTTTAAATCATAAGAATCCAACTTTAACAAATTATTTTTAATATAATATACAATTATAAAATTTTTAAAAATAAAAGTTGCAAATTTTGAGTTTAAAAATTTTGAAAACATATTTTGTAAAATATATTATCCATCTCCATTATTAAAACATATTTATGTGATTTAACTTTTTCTTAATTTTTGTTATTTTTTAATTTTAATTTAAAATTATTAAAATCAATAGATAAATCATAATGTATATTACCCATCTCCA